AATTTGTTTACAGTTGCAATTTGGTTGCGTTATAAAGTTTAATTCTTATCATCAATATATTATAAATGCGCGTTACAAATATGCGTAATTTGAATGGTGAAAGCAAGATGATGCAAAGCCGGGCTTTTGAGAATTTTTTCTCCTCGTTTCTTGATTTAATTCTCGATTTACACACGCGCGTTCTAAATTAACATTTAATTCTCGCGCTATAATTAATCACGACTTTGCAATCGCGTCGCTTTTGCAGGATGCGCATGGCTTTTATATTATGGATGCACGTCGAAGTTCCTTTATCCGCGTGCAACGCCTAGAAAAAGGTAGGGTTGCACGTGTGCGACGAGGCTACCAAGATAGGTGCATCGTACCCGCATCGTGTAATGATAAAAAGCCGCGCCTTGCGACGGGAGCAAAAAGGGCGTCCCTTACCCAGCAAAACAAACACGACGTATATACGGCAATAAAATGTAAAAGCAACCTTTGCGGCATAAATAGGGCGAAAGAGCATCTAACGGCTTCCTCGGTCGTTCAGCCGAGTGATAACCCTCGTAAATATCTAATAACTTTATTTGTGCATCTCTTATTCGTCTGGAATTACTTCTGGAAAATCGCTCTAGAATATAATAAAAGCTTCAAATATTTTATCCAGAAATTTTATCATCAAGTACATATAACACCCATAAACGCGTTGAATTATTGAGGCTATTAATGGCGTTAACATTATCAAGAAAGTGCTATTTTATAGATGCGTTGATGCAAAATGAATGAAAAATAGGAAAAAAGCTTCTCGTCGGCGAAAATTTCTTTTCTTTTTCGAGAGAATATTTGCGTATATTTATATCGCACTATAAAGAAGAAGGGAAATGCGTACACAATGTAACGGACATTACTTTCGAATTACCGAGCCCTATCGCGTTATTAACGAGCCTTGCTTTTGCCTCGCCAATCAATATATCGGATTTCTTCGTCAGTAATATCAATATCATCGGCGCCACAAGAGTGTCATTATTCCCATGGAGACGCCCACCGGACATCCATGTCATCGAATATATACCCAGAATCAGTCAAAAGATACAATAGTGTTTCGCATCAACGCGTCTTTGCTTAATAGCTGTTTTTTCGACTTCGGAAGAGCTGTCAAAAGTATCGCGTTTTATTAGTTAGCTTTATTAGTTAGATTTTGACAACTTTGACAACTTGGTATCGAATACCGGCGGAATAAGTATACTTAACATTATTCGACAATCTTTTTTAATATCCATAAGTTTATCGAATTGATAAAAACAAGAAATATAAATAAATAAATTGTACAGCTATGTTTCTCTCCGACGAGCTTATCGTACTGATGTCTGTTTAGCGAATTGAATAGGACAAAATAGTTACGTCAATTTTATATCGTTATCGGTGTAGCCCGAGGATTCTTATTCTCAATGAGTGAAATGTAATTTTTTATTCTGTATATTCTGTTGAGGAATATTATGATGTCAGACAAGAACGACAGGCGAATAACAGAGAGTGGAAAAAATCAATCAGCGAAAATACGGAAAATTGAAGAAATCGGATTAGCTGAAAAAGAAATTTTAAAAAATAATAAAACGTAAAAAAAAAATAAAAGCATTTAACATTCATTTCTCCGGGTTAATCGACTAAATATGCGTGACAAATCAAGGTATAAAATCTAATTGTTATAGTTAATGATGGCTGATTTAATTAAAAAGCTCATGTGCGAAAATAGTTATAAATTTTGATTTTTAATTAAAAGTCAATACTTCGATGACATGTGACGCGAATAAAGTATATATAAGAGAGATAGAAAGAAGAGAGAGAGAGAGGATATACACGGTTTTTCTAAACAAAATTATTTTCCATAGATCTTGCATGAAATTTTGAATTGTACCACTTGAAATAATTTCTTGCTCGGCTATGCGTGCAAAGAAAGTAGGCTTCAGTAAAATTATCATCTCTTCCGCGGAGATATAAAGTATTTATGACACGTAGCAAATACAACATAAGTGCTATCTCGAGGGTACTCTCCTCTTCTCCTCCTCCCCCTTCTTCCAGTTTCCATCACTCACCCTCTCTGCTACTTCTACCGGTTCTTGATGCAACGTCCCATTTCGTGTCGTATCTCACCCGATCCACGTCGGCCGTGCACGATTAACCCCTTATCATATCTCCTTGTATACTTTGTAGCAACATGTTGAAAAATGGTGTCCTCCAAATGGAAGTTATGAATAAAACAAACAGATAAAAAGAGAGTAAACAACAATAATAGCTTTTTAAATACTTTATTTGTTATTTATTTAATTAAATTATTGTTTTAATATTGTATTTTTTTTCTATAATTTTTTTCTTGTATAATTTTTCTTATTCTCGATCAATTTCTTAAAGTCTCTAATGTTCGATAAAATTGTAGTTATTATTACAATTGTCCCTGTGTTTGGTGCCAAAAATTATGAGTATGGTTACTTACTTTTAGATTATTTACGATAGAAAAAAATTTATTTGTTAATAAACGAGGCCTGGAAGAGTTCCGTTTAACAATATATTTATATATATGCGCACAAATTTCTGCGTAAACGCCTAAATACTCGTTTAACAATTTCTCTGCATGCAAAAAATCCAGGCAAAGGAAAGGATCCAAAAAACAAGAGATATATGTATGACAAAAGATATACATTAAATGTGAAAATCAATAAAAATCTCGACAGCATTTGACGTGGCGCAAATATGGGCCGCATTAGAAGTCTGGTCAAATCCAGACTTGCGCCCGTTTAACTTTATAATAAATGCCACGCCATTTATATATCAGGCGCAAGGATGGCCCTGATATGTATCTTTCCAATTCTTTTAGATAAGGCTGTAGTGTGGCAAATTTGCATGGTGCTAGCAAGTGTCGTGGCACCGGCAAGGCCATTTCTACCAGGGGTGCTTTATTTGCATGATTTTTGATCTGAGCCCAGTGAGCGGATCACAATCTATTACACAACTCTGAGCATTGTAATTAAATTTTAACAATACCGTTAAAAAGTAATTTATATTGTATATACATTTGCATTACATATTTTTTAGTTATACTTATTATATTTTCAAACTCTTGACATTTTTGTCATTCTATATATATGATTATAAATTATTAGGGACACGCGGGATAAATACATTTTATATTAAAAATCCGGTTAGGTTTTAAACGCAGTTTTATCAATGTGAAATTCACGAATTTTATTTACATCCGCATTGTTTCTGCGCGTATTTGAAATTTTATGATTTACGAGTTACTCACAATTTGAGCCCCGCATTCTGCGATACTAGCACTCGTAATACCTATAATTTACGAACACTTGCATTAAAAGAGTCAACTAATTAAAAAGTTAATAAATATTGCAATCATAATTATTGTTTCACGTAAACATTAAAATCAAAATTAATTCTGCGTTAATTAAAATAAATTTAATCATTTCATTTAGTTAATATTATTAGTTGTTTTGTGTATGCTTTGTGTACTTACAAAATATTTTTTATAAAGATCTTTATAGAGACTTTCAACTACCTAACATAAGTTTTTACTCAATCTCTTTTTTAACCGTATCACAGTTTACTGATCAGTTTTCAATGTTTTTTAGTGTAAATATAAGAAAATTATGAATACAAAAAAGTGCTATTGTCAAATATAAATATGATAATAGATATTATACAATTAAGATAATGCGCATTTATCTCATATAACTCGAATTCATTTATGATTAATTAAAATTTAGTAGGTAAAAACATTTAATTAGAGATTAATTTTATGCCAATAATTAAAGCTCTCTTTTCTATAATAAATATGTAAATAACATACATATTTTAAATCATAGAATTACTGGTTATTTTCTCCGATAATGATATCGCTCTATATCTCGACCACGCTATGTTATTTTTTCCACGCAATTCTATTTTTATTAATATATTTTGACTCGATCAACCCATTTCAATATCCGCGAATTTATTATTTGGTACAAATCTGCGCGAGAATAAAATTTTTTTGCTTTATTGAAATTTTTAAAATTGTTCTTATTTGCTTTTATATCGCGCTTCTGTGTAAACTCTTATTTTCCGTCATACTTTGTGCGCCAATTATCATCTTTTACAAAAATTGTTATTCTTTGAGCTTATACCTTTAAAGTTAGTTTACAAAAAAGAATATACATTTTGCTTTCTGATTTGCAATGCATGAGGATTAAATTTTAAACTAGCATTGTAATATCGCGTAACGTATAAAGAGGTATAAAAGTATCGCGTAATAATATCGACGATGAATTCACAAGAATGAAACATAATACATCCCTTCAAATTCCGATGATCCTTAAGTTCACGTTTTCTCCTTCGGATATTTCTTTTGTCGGTACTCGATATATCTATTCATTGCATTCATGTTTCATGTGCTGTTCAACACAATCCTGTCCAATTAGTTAAATCGTACTACCATGCTACGATAACGATGTAACATGAGAAATTGTTACAGCTTGTTATGGAAAATATAACCGTATCCATCTTGCTAACGTCACATAGTGCTTTTCTGGCTTTCACGTGTACAGTAACGCTTTAGTTTCCACTCTCAACTCTGTTATTCGCGAATCACGCGTTACTTTGTTTAATGACATATCCGTGTAAAACACACAATATTAGTTGTTTAACTTGATACACGTTCCTTTATAATATAATATTCAAAATTCATTAAATAATATTAAGAAATGCATTTGCGTGCGTGTACAAAAGTTACATATTATTTAACTACAAAAAATGTTTATATAATATTCGGCGGTATAACACGATACGTCTCTCGACAACAAATTGTCATTGCCTACGTTCGAGTTAGAATTCATTTTCAAAAATCTATATCTATCAGATATCCCCGTATCGCTCTCTCGCAGCGATCGTTTACCTTTACTCGAACAGGATCATCGGCATAATGCTGCACGTACGCCGGAATCAGGTTACCGTGCATCTCTGCATGCATCGCGTTACTTCATGCTGTATCTGGACCAATCCGCGACAGACTCGTCCTCCGTGCCGAAAGTTCCGGCTGCGGGACTCGGGTCGGACGAGAAGGCCGCGTTATATTTCCCGAGGGCCAAGTCGATGAGGGAGAAACTGCATCCAGGAAACATGGCGGCGCAGTCCTTGCCCTCGTGGCCGGCTTTATGTGCCCGAGTGTACGTGCGATGCTCGTCGGGTTCGAAGGAGAACACCCTCTTTAAGGGTAGCCTGTAACGTAAAGGATTATTTTTAGATCGACATAGAAACGTACGTTGCATTACTAACGATGATTGAATCGAAGAGTCGTGGAAAATTGGCGAGATGGGAGAGACTCGATTCTCATCTTCATCTGTATCGTTCGCCGAGAAAGATCAATTACGGCTGAAATATTATATATCTCTCCCTCAGAAAGAGTAGAGCAACACTCTCACTCTCTCTCTCTCCCTCTCTATTTTGTTTCTTTCTCTCTTTCTCTCTCAGGAGTCAACCCTCTCTCAACAGAACCCTCCACAAGAAAATCCCTAACGTTTTGCGAATTGCGCATTCTTGGCCGAGATGATGAGTAGGTTGCTCCTAATGGTCGGTTACGGGATAATCGAGGAGGCACTCTCCCGAGATATCATTGGATAGAAAGAGCTATTTTAAACCGCACGCGAGTCGAGTCACGTTTTTAATCCGTCGTCATTTTTGCGTTGCGAGAAAGAGAGAGTTGTAATAGCATCTTCTGTATTGTCCTTTGTACCTTCATTTAGAAAGAATGAAAGAGTAAATTGGCATGTAAAAAATTTCTAAGAAAACTTTTTCCGTCTCTTTGTATTAAACAAAATCAAATAGAAAATGAGGAATTTTTAATTAGAAAATTTCTCAGATATATGAATTCATTCAAGTTGTGTCATTCAATTTTATAAATTGCAATATCTATAGAAGCTGTTTTTCTGGTTTTTTATATAAAATATATATATATATATTTTTTTTTTATAAAAACTCGTTTTACTTACCGTATCGGTATCAAGACTACTCGAAGTGTTTCAAGATAAGTGGGTCAAGTAGTAGTAACGAATTACAATCAAAACAAATTGTTCAGGCACCAACAGCTTTCGTAAATCGATTTGGAGAGGGTTTTTTTCAACGAGGGAACAAAAAACAAAAATACACAAAACTTTAAAATTGTATTGGTTAGAGCCATATCAAGTGAAAAATAACGCGATTTTTATTTTTAAACTAATAACGATAACATGTAGATTGAAACATGAAAGATTTCTGCGACAAATGGCGATTTTCATTTTGTTTTCACTAAAAAAAGAATCCCATCCGCTAAATAAAAAATTTGTTGTCACAAAGCATAAGAGTTGGATCCACTTTTTATAAAAATTATAAATTCTCGAAGAAAGCTATTAGATAAGTAGTTTATCTGGCATTATTGTTTATTTTGCACTTTCTTAATTTCCACATCTTTTATCGCATTTGTTCTTTTCTCCCTACTTTTCCTCTCTTCGCATTATTTTGAAATCTCGCGGCGCTTAATATTCATGAATTCGTAAATTAAAGTAAACGTAGGAGAAAGATAGAAAGAAGCATCGAAAGAGAATCTTACGAGAATGATATTCGCATCATTTCTTCTATCAAGGTGTTCCCTTTTGGCATTAATCGCTGAGATGCTTCGCAAAGTGCGCGTAGAATACATGACTTGCCATCAAAGCCCATCCTGAAAAATAAGAGAGGATGACATGTAAAATAATAAAAGATATAATTCGTTTAAAAAAAAATTTGCAAGCTGTGACTGTATTTTTTACAAAAAGCAAAAAAAATCGATATCTTTCATTGAATACGATTCTAATTTGTCGAAATACTCTTTTTGTTACTTTTACGAATTGCCATCATTATGTAACGAGATAATAATTTTTCTAACTTATTGTCACTTTGTGCCCAGAGAAATCTTAGGAGAAAATGCATTAAATGATAGCCGTTATCAAATTTCTTCGTTGACTACAAAGTCAGATAAGAAAGGATGATATTTTACAGGGTACATATTTCTTTAGATGATCGATAAACTCTGTTTTGATAGAAAGTCAAAAGATTTTACTAACACGAAAAATATCTACACATAGTTACATATATTTAGATGTTTAATGATATAATTAATTAATTTTCTATTCTACTTTTTTCAATAAATTTCTAGTTTTTTCTCTACGTAATATAATCAATTTATAATTATTTTTATAACTTTAATTAAGACACAATTCCTTATGTACAAATAATATAAATAACACTAAATAATATATATTTATTCTTGTAATTTAAAAATTATAGTATGCCTATAATTGTAGAATTTCAAAGATAAATTATAACAATTTAAAGTTCTCTCTCTTTCTCATCCTTTATATGTAAGAGAATGAAGAGATTAATTTTGAGCGAAAAAGTAAGACAAAACGAGGAGTCATTCATTTTACACGCAATTGACGAACCCAACCGCATCGGCAATTTGAATAAACGCCTATCATTTATTCGCGAGGGTAATTTTTACGAAGAGGGAACTTTAACAGAACGAACTTCGAAGAAATGAGATAGAATTAATCCTGCAGGCCTAATGTAGACACTACGAGATGTACCGCTTTATTCCGCTCATTCTTTTAAGTAAATGACGTCCGTTGACATATTTAGTCGCTTCTGTATTGCCAATTTACGGCTATTTCGAGCGTAATTTGTCTCGTCGCCGACAAGTCTAAACACGATTTATGTTACGTTTCTATTGTAACACAAATTCTATTAGTCTCCCAAAACTGCGGTCGGTTATAAAAAAAAATCATATCAATTTCGTAAAATTCGAATCATTTACTACGAATTATTAATAACGCTTCTTTCCTCGCAATTAATCAAATCACTCTACTGTTTCGTAAAAGCTAAAACAAACGATCGGCATTAAATTCTGAGTGTCGTCACAGTCCGAAATGCTATAAAGATTTCTCAGTTAAGTATTCTCGCAACATCCTTGAAGTAAGAACGTCTTGCGGCTACAGAGCCGTGGCCTTATTTTGGCTCGAAGCGGAACGCTATCGACGAAAATAATCGGAGGCTCTCCGACTGGCGGAGGGTATAAATCTGGTTATGGCCCGGGCCGCGGAAGAGAGCGAGAGGGAGAAACTATTTTCCCATGGTCGTTGGCCCGAGAAACGGATAAATGGTCTGCTGGAGACTCGTTCAGAAACAACCCTCCCGCTATCGGACCGCGCGCGCTGTGGAAACGCCACCCTCATCTGATTCATGCCATCCTGAAGCCGCCGCCACCGTCGTCGACCGATCCTTTATAAACCAGCGGCGACGTGGTCTCCTCTACCTCGACCGCATACACATACAAATATATCCAGAATACACACGTACACATGCGCGCGTAGAAATGCGCGTCCTTGTTGTATAGCCTTCTATATAGCAATATATAGTTCTATAAGACGTCGGGTCTATATAAACCACCACTTTAGCATCTCCTCGGCGAAAGGGTGAATGATTTCATGCGGATATTAGTCGCAATACTCTAACGCTCGCCTCGTTATCCCGGCCGGGATAAAGTGGAGTAAACGACGCTGCTAAATGTCGTTCGATAAACGTCGTTAAAAGCATCGCGGGGGATGCAATAAACGTCTTCCCGACAATTATGCGAGGCACACATAAATGGCCTTCTTTGATCTTTGGTCGTAAAGTTGTTCGCTCCGCGAACGTTGTGAATAAAAAAAGTTTCCGCTTAATTAATACGCTCTCTTGAGAAGGATTATTTTTTACTAAAAAAAAATTGTAAAATTAATGTAAGAACAGGCCAACTCGAGAGCATAAATTATTGGGATGTTAGTGAATATTATAAATTTTTATTACTTTCCAATTATATACCATATTAAAACAATTAAAATATATTAATACAATTAAATCAAACGTTTCGACTGTACGCAGTCTTCATCAGTGGTGTCATATAGTATTAGTCAATTATAAAATTTTAAAAAACATTTCGACGATGCGAACAATTGCAATTCATACTATTAATTATAAACATTCATTGGAAATAATGTATAACAGCGTTATAATTTTTTACCAATTTATTATTTTATTTTTTATTATTTATTTGGAGAGAATCTCCAAAGAAATTATGATAAGAAGAGAAAGTCTCGAGTTGTATTTTCGCGAAAAGAAAATTAACTTGTAGGCAATATTTGTTTCATTATTGTACAACAAAAGCTTTGTGAAAGAGATAGTTGACGCTACAAGAGTTCTAATCAAATTACATTATAGAAACACCTATTTCAAATAAATATCATGAATAATTCGGTACAAGTATGAGTTGATATCATCTTTTCCTATAATGCGAGATGATGGCTAAAGGTTGATCCGGTTGTAAAAGATCCTTGGACATATCCACGGTCTCATCCGTAATACATATCTGTCACCCTGTTTCGTGTTATTCAAAGTCTTTCAGTGCCAATGTACCGTAATAAGTTCGAATAAAGATGCGTCAGCATGTTATATCTCCGTAAAATTATCGCGTTACGATACAGATAACAGCATCCATAAAATTATCATCGATTCTCTATAGATCTTCTTCGATTTGTTCTCATATGCTTTTGATTTTATTTCTACGAAATAAAATCGGTTTATGTATCTTTTTTTCCTCGATGGATGTTACAACTATTAATTTTATATTTTTTTACCCATATTACACTGTAAAAAATATGTAAAAATTACATAAATAGTAATTGTAAAATTGCACGCTAAATAATGAAAATGTATGTGTGTTTTCAAATATATACATTTTCATTACTTATTGCACTAAAAAAAATTTGGTTGTATTTCGACAAAACAGAATTTACTGGTTTAATCGACCAGAATTCCTTTTAGTGCAAACAACTGATTTGTTGTACAAACAAGATTCTTGTTGCATTGAAAGAAATTCTAGTCGATTAAACCAGTACATTCTGTTTCGTCGATTTTCGAACAGAATTTTTGTTAATATAACAATTTTTTTTTCCTGCAGTGCGTGTAATTTTACATTTTTTATGTAATATATTACATATGTTTTTCACAGTGTATGTCGCATTGACGCGGCATAGAATTATCGAGATATACACATATATCGGAAAAGAATTACCATTACAACATCATGATATCAAGACTTTTGATATCACGTCACGCATATCACATATTGCGGTGACTGGGATTAGCAGACTCGGCATGAAATGTAATTTAAATTCCCGGTCGAATGATGAAAATGAATTGGCTAAATCTCGTATATAATAGCCGTGTCATCGGTCTATTTTACAATATGATGCGGCTTGACAAATTATAAGTCCCTGCGTGACGTGACAATAAGCACGTGTCTCCAGCTTCGACCGATGTGCGGTCTCGCCGTCATTATTGCGATATATATATATATTATATCGATTTTTTCGGTTAATGTGTGGTCGATACGTCGCGACAGATGACACGGAAGAAACTGTAATACTTGGACGGGTCTCCGCCATAAAGAGACAAGACGGCCGTTCGATCGTGCCGCAGAGCCACTAAAGCCGCCGTCCTATTTTATTATCGAGCGTGTCTCTCGTCTCGTGAAAATTCGTCGCTCTCGCCTCCTCCTCCTCTCTTTCCCTAAAGATGCTCTGAAATCCAGGTTAATATATTCGCTCAATTTGAATGGACGGCGAGAACAGAGAGAGAGAGAGAGAAGAAGGAGAGGCGACGACGTTGATCCAGGAAAATTGTCATCTTAACCGCTCGCGAACGGATATTATTAATTGCTATCAGAAGTGGCAATAATTAGATTGTTATTCAAATCAACAAGGATTCATCTTTCAATTTTATCGAGTACAATTTCGATGGATTTGCTTAATCGTTGATACATGAAATCCCTTATTCGAGAAATACGAGCGTTGCAATTTTTATACGAAATTTGTAAATTAAAAATATTTGTCTAAGATAAAAAATCTTTAATTGTCATAAAGTTTGATATATTATCTTTTTTATTTTGAGTGTTCAAGAAGAAATATATTTTCATATATTTTAATAAGTTTTATTGATATTTTTCTCAACGCAAATATAATAGTCTTGTTTAAATTTGAAAAACAAATCTCTCGAATAAGGTCGACGCTTTTAACCGCATTTCATCAAATTGCAATCGATTGGATTTTGTTTCGAATAATACGTTAATGAAGCTCTCTCTTGGATTTTCATCCCGATAATCGTGCACTTACGCATTCATGATGACCTCCAATTTGTTGTAAAGGTCCCGTCGATGCCTCCTCTGCAAGTAATAATACTCCGACTTGCGGTACTTCTTTCCGCCGGGCGCAAAGTGAGTCCTGACATCGTTATTCCATCCTGAATATTTCAGAGGGCCGTTCTTATTAGCGACTGCAGTCGAGCTGTAACGGTCGTGTTTGTTGCCGGATTTAAGTTTATCGTTCCTCAGCTCTAAGAACGGCTCCAGGGCGGGTTTACTCTCGTTAGGCAGGTCATAGGAGATACCCCAGTTTAGACCCTCCGTGAAAATGTTGTCGTCCGGGGTCAGGGTATGCACCGTCAAGCAGAGAGCGATCTGTAGTAGAGAGTGCCATGCTATATTTATTTCTTTTCGCTTTTGTTATCTTTAACTTTGGCATGATTGTTATCATCATTAACACGAAATTTTTCGGCTTCTCGTAAGTTGAATAAATTATGATATAACAATATTTTATTATATAATATTATCTAATATTAAGATGCAATTTAATTCGACGAAAAACTGGCTATTCATTTATTGAAAATAAGTACACACTACGTTTCGACCCACATTGTGGTCATTTTCAAGTGTTGTTCTTATTCAGCAATTACATTAATTAAAAATAGAAACATGAAAGTTGTCCTGTCATATCGATAATCTGTTAGCTACTGTCACAGTACTTATTTTTAATAAATGAATAGCCAGTTTTTGGTCGAATTAAATTGCATCTTATTATTTGTGAAAATTTTATCACTGGCGATCGACAATTAATTGTAAAGATTATCTAATATCATATAATAAACTTTTTAAAGCAGTATCATATGCAAATTATTATTAGGATCGCATCTGCAATTAGAAATCTTATCAGACAAAAGATAAGTGAAAACAAGTAATGAGAGAAAAATGAGTGTCTTAAATTTCTTGAAGTTTTACAAGTTTTCTCGACAATTATTGCTTATTAAGTCCTTCCCGCTGAAAATAGTGTGTTCCGTACAGCTCGTGATAAATGATATTAAAGTATATGTATGTATAACAATTTCGCCGCGTAACTCCATCTATTATAATAAGTAAGTCCATTTTATCAGTAAATAATTAATGATCAAGTTAATTAACTTGCGAGCAGTGCCTCTTATAATCAGATGTTAAATTACTTTACGTAGCCATTGAATTTACATTTAAATTAACATTGTACTATAAAAATCTATTGTTGAAGTCAATAGAGGAATATATAATGACTTGTGTTGTTATGAATAATAACACTCTGTTCGGAATTGAAAGGAAATTACGAAAATTGTTTACATAAAATATTGTATATTACATAATATTATACGATTAATTTATTGTGCTTACGGAAAATGTAGAACCTTCGGGAAAAACGATGTAACGTCGTTTCCTCGAGAGAATCGACTTATCGTTAGCTTCGTACTCCGACAATATCACGCAGATTATTAAGAACATCAAATACTTGGCATTGCAATTCATTGTATTAGCCTGTAAAAAATATATATTGCGTTGTTGATTCAACTAACGAAAGAGATGACGTATTTTTAGAAAAAAAAGGTGACATTTTAACATCGTCGGAAAAAACGAAAAGCGTGACATAGTATGTTTTACGTAACGAAATTTATTTAATGAACAATCCTCAATTTTACACAAGTCGACATTTGACATATTGTGCACACATGGAGCGAGCAAACAATCGTAATAATTCCCTATTTCCAGGGTTAAGCGTGGGAGTCGGGATTAAAAGCGGACGTGTAGGTTTAACATTGACACAATCGACGTTGCTTTAAACGTCCAAAGATGATATCCCGGAAAAACTGGACCGCTAATTTCGTTCTACAAAGAGCGCTCACAAAGCGCTCTTTGAAGCGAAAGGAAATTATTTCATTGTCATCGCGGAGCGTAACATGGAAAAGGACAGAGAGAGAGAGAGAGACAGAGAGGGTGCAAAATCGAAGGGTTGTGAAGAGGAAAAAGGGGTGAGGAAAAGGGGGATCGTGGCTGGCGAAAACTTTCTTCCAGCGCGAACTTGTAAAGGAATTACCCAACTTTCCGGAGAGCAAATCTCGGTATAATCCGTTGAGAAATTGTTCGACGACTTTCCTGAAATAAAAGCAGCCCATGAGCGACGCCGGTAATGCCGCCTTTTTGCGATCGCGAGGAGCGAACTGCCGTAAACCATCAAGGGGTCTCTCTCTCTCTCTCTCTCTCTCTCTCTCTCTCTCTCTCTCTCTCTCTCTCTCTTGATTCCGGCTGGTGACTCCGAGCGGGCGTTAGCGATCGGTCGGAAGGATTAGACAGGAAGTTGGAATTGTACGAGGAAATAATCTTGGGATAAATAATCCGGTCGGCCACGCTCCAATGGCTGGATTTATCGCGAGTTCGCAGATATTTAAGAACCGACTCGCCCAGAATTTTAACTCTGGTCTCGCGTCACCCAATTTCGAATTAAACATCAAATCTCCGTCACGCTTTCTGTTTCTCCATATTTCTTCTTAGCTCGTCAATTTTGTAAGAGAAGGAAAAATATATCTTTTCCCCTGAAAAAAAAATTTAATAAAAATTGTGCAAGAAAAAAAAAGAAAGCTTGATTTGGGAAACATTAAATGTCCTAGTCCTTTGCGGACGAGAAAGGAGCCGTGTAAGTTCTACCTCTCGCAAGGATGTAAGATTAATTTTTCATTCCGCGACGTGAGCACTGCGCTATAGTGATTGCCATTCTTCCTCCCGATGTTAACCCGAGAAAACTTCTGAATTGCCGGCATTAGTTTCTTTCTCCTTCTTGAGGAACGAATACGATGTGCGCTGCTACGCTGCAGAATACGATGCAGACTTGTATGTATTATACTATATGTATGTGTAGAAGCGAATTGTACATTCTCACTTGTGATTATACATCGATCACCGTCCTTACGTTTCCGGCCACGAATCCCATAGACTCTAGCAACGGGGACGTTATACGCTTTTCCTTTCACGTTTGAGGGAATTTCGTTCACCCATGTAACGACAGACGGGATATTGTCGCATTCCTCTGCCGCGAACTTTTCATTCCGCCAAAGCGGGATGTCAATTCTCGTGCTCGCGAAAATGCGTCAAAGTAAATCAAGAAATCAATAAGAGAGAGAGAGAGAGAGAATAACCGTGCGTCTATCAGCGAGGATAAATGTGAGAATTTACAGCTAAGGGTTTTCATTTTATTTTTTCTTTTCCGAAGTGACTCTATAATTTAAAAAAAAACGATTAAAAAAGAATGTTGCGTGCACATGATAAAAGCAAAAAATAATATCAAACATTTTCCTACGCGATAAATACACAATTTGAAGATAAATTAACATAGGTACACCGCGCGATTTATTTTCTACCTCGTACTCTCGTGTCGTTCGTATGTGGTTTGTATGTTCCGTTAATTAGTATTACAACTTTACCCCGACTCTCAACTAACGTAATTGGAATCTTATTACTTGAGCGCGGATATTATAATCAATGCCAAAGCGTTACGCGCTCGAGCTGCAAACCACCTTCAGCAGCCAATTAATTGCAACGGTAGGAGATTATTAATATACTCTCCCGGACATAGCGTAGAATGTTGCGAAATTTGTTACATCATGGGGTGAGAGAGGAAGAGAGAGAGAGAGAGAGAGAGAGAGAGAGAGAGAGAGAGAGAGTCGATACTCTCTCCTCCGGAGCAACTATTTATGTACATTCGAAGCGCGTAGAGGTTCGTTAACGTCAGTTAATGAATACGTCAATAATTTTCCACATAATATGATGTAACGCGAACTCGTAATAAAATGTTCAATAATTATATTATATAGGTATGCGCGTGTGTACATAATGCGACGTAGTACGAAATACATATTATTAATAATACCTGATAAATTCGAAAGACGAAGAGTGCGATTGACGTTTCGCGATTTTACGGGAAGCTGTCAATCAGAGCCGTTAGCCATATAATTCGCCTGTCGAAAAATATACTAAAGGACGCTGAAGTCTGCGCTCTATATATATGTATATATATATATATATATATATATATATATATATATATATATCCCTCTCTTTCTCTTTCCCCGCAAATCACCGATACAATAACAGGATACTCTCCGTATATTTCGATGAAAACCGATATAATCGATCGATCCGCTTCAACATCGTCAAGTTCCGCCGACCCGACCCGGCCGTATCGGCGAATGAAACAAGTTTGATTAGATGTAGCAGACACGTTGAGAGCTTGGAATTCGATAAAAATCTATTCCGATCAACGAGAAACAAGTTGACCGCCACCGTCGTCCCGTCCTTGATCTCATCTCGGGTTTATTACGGATATGTGACGCGTGGAAATGGAAAATATATATGTATATATATATATCAGGGTACAGGGTTCAACTTTGACACGTGCGCGCTGGTTCTTCAAATCGCGTAATTGCAATCGTTTTAACGGAGGAGATTTAATGTCAGCTGACAAAATTCAAAGCGGGATGAATTTATAAAGCGGATTTCGACGAGCGTTTGAGCAACGCGTCGCAAAAATTATAATCACCCACGTGTATTGTAATGGATTAAGGGACGTAATGGATTATAATAGTGTTTGCAGAGGAGATAATTACTTTGCACAGGTGTGTATCGAATGATGGAATTTATAATCCCCTCGCGTTTGTAATCCTTAACGTGTGTAGATCAAGTTATTATCTCTTCTATAGACATTTAATCAGTCAGTAATTAATTATCTCGATTATTCATCGATATCCCCTCGGAGCCTGGATATTCGCGTTAAGGATATAACCGTCGGATACCTCTGGATATTATCAATATACTCGGCTTAATCGTCGCTGCCTGTCAAAAACATAAAAAGAATAACGAGATTTAGCAAGTTTCACGCACTGATATAATTTACTCCGACAGGAAATTAATTAATCATGGTCTCTCGAACGAGAGGCCGACCAAATATTTTCGGCAAATAAAACTTTCTGTGAGGGATCGAGCTCTCTAAGAATGATCCCTATATAACTCACTTCGGCTCTTTAGGAAGTATAGAAAATTAATCGCCGTGAAAAAAATGGGGAAAAAGCGGAATGATCGATCGACGGTTGCCTATACGCGAAGCACATCGTGTTTGACGTATATATGTAATAATTTTCTGATAGTTTTTTTCAACGACTGCATCTTCTTCATCGAATACGCGATTAATTCTCGATTAAAACATCAGCGAGAAATTTGTCGGGAACAGCAATGCCTTTATATGTGTTTCTTTTCAACTATGCCAATTCGTCAATAATATCGTCGAAACGTTAAGTAACGCGCGGTTCGCTCCGTCTCGATAAATGGATTATGATTAATCAGTTTGTTGAACAGTGGTTTGCCGGCTGAAAGAATATCCGAGCATGAAATTAACAAAAAGAGGGAGAGAGAGTGCATTAACGCGAAAACTACATAAAAGCGAAGTTGTACCGTTTGATCTTTCCCGCGTAACAAGAGATGAGTAATCGATTTGGGGGAAGAAAGGGATGCCTCGTCGTATCGACATTTCTGATAAACTTTCTTTTTTATCGTCTTATTCACTCGCCTCCCCTACGTCGAATATTGAAACCGTCACTTTTTTCCCCTTAAAATAAAATAATATCGCGTCGCCTGTATCAAATTGGCTCAATCAATGCGAACGAATTTATATTTGGATAAATATGAAAAGTAACAATGTAATTAATGCACGGTTAAACGCGGTTAATTATTCCTTTAATTAATATTTGTCCCAGTATCGATTGACATTTCCATAGTACAATTTTTTTCACGGAAATGGTTCGCTTGGTAAATGAAGTTTCAGAAAAATAGCACGCTCACGTGTGTTAAATATCAGCATGTAAATTCGCGAGATAGTCCCATAAGCCCCGCTCGATTGTACGGCAGTTTGATCGGGGTCGAGCAATTATCCGGACCAATCTCCGGAATCTCCGCCACGTGTGCATGTGTCCCGCGAAAACGAAAATGGAATTGAAACGAGCTGTTTTGTTATCGTATCAGCGATACGTCAAAATCGCGAACATCGAATAATAATCCCCTATATGTCGCCCTCTCACCTGTCTCTCACTTAATTCGGCTTCTCCCGCGGTTCGTCCGCTGAATAATCTCCCGTCCCAGCCGAGACTGACCGTTATTATTGCAGTTAGGCGAGCGCCGGAGCATTGTCGAATTCATTAACGTCCAGCCGCGCTCAGCTCGGACTTCCGTTCTCTCCTCGGCTTTATTTAACCAAACGATTAACGGCTCAAGAGCCGAACAGCCCGACACGTTGCCGGGCGTGAGCATAAAATACCGTTCCACTATTAGTGCGATTAACGTTTCCGTTCGTATTGTGTGCGCGTCGAGTACCGAAACTCTCGTATCGAAACACGACACACGCACGCGCTCTTGTATCCTGTGGTTGCGCCTATAATTCGAGAGCATTTATCATTTTGCACGCTGCGGTGGGATTTTTACCGATTATCATTATCCTATTACCGATTTCTAGTTGAACACGCGACGAATTATGAGCGTGGCTGATTCAAAGAACTGTATTCTTTCGGAAAAAGTATACCATTCATTCGTTGAACAAACCGTCAAATAAATATTATCGATAGTTTCAGACATTTTCTTGAAATAAATCTTATCAAAGATTATTTCAGGGAAAATTAAGTGTCACATGTTATAAGTAAAAATTTATTAAGTTATGAATTGATTGAAGAATATAGAGTTGTTTTGATGAAGTTTGTAAAATTAATTTAAAAATAATTGAAAAATAATAAAAAAATTTAAAAATGATATGTATATATATATATATATTTCTAATCAGTCTATCACTAGATAGGATTAAATATAAACTTAGATAAAGTTTTTTTTATTTTTATCACGCTTACGTCTAACAAATTATCGTCGCTAGATTAACTTCACATATGAGCTAATAAGAGTCATATGTAATTTTAACTTGGTTGTGCGTCAGAGAAATATATAGAATTGTCAGAAATAGGAAACTTATTTAACTACGAGAGAATAATTTTATAAATTCGGCGCGACTGCAACATCCGAAATATTAATAAAATCGAGTAACTAGATATAAAAGCAGTTTGGGAATAATAATTTCAAATATGTCCTATTATACTAGGTACATGGTCAATTAATACTACGCATTCTTTGTTTAATTATACTCATATAATGCTAAATGTGTTTCGTGTTTCGTGTATAATACGATTCGGATTTTGCAATTGAAATGTTTTGTTTACTGCAAAGTATCACTCTTTTTACAAGGAAATAATAAATTTTGAAAATTTGTATAAATCCAATTTTGCTTTTTATAGAAATTAGCTCTCAATGAAAATTATATAATGAAACGATATAATCCTAATGATAATTTCCACAGATATATAAAATCAAATAAAAATTATACAAAAAAGTGCTTGTGTGCATATGTGGATTAAATTACTTGTTTTATATAATTTCATTCTTTTTTTATTTTTATTGTATTATTGATGTCTTTTGAAATATATATTTCAGACATATATTTATTTAATAAAATAATATTGAAATATCAGATTTTTCTGTTTACTGCAGGAATACGCTAATTAAATATACAATTTTTAATAAATCATATAAATTACAGATTGTTTAAATTTTAATTTTATTATTAATTTGGCTGTTCAACAAGGCACAGTCATCTTGTATATAAATTATATAACAATAGTTTCAATAGCGAAAATGAACAAGGATAGACAATCTCACAATCATTTTTTGTTCGATATGCAATGTCATAACAGTCATGTTCGTTAGCATCCTCGAAATTTCTGAAACACATATTTTTGCTTTTAATTCGAAATATCATAATATTACAATAATTTTTATAATGGAATTATACTATATTATATATTTTAAAATTGTTAAGAAAATTATGTGTAAAAAAAACTATTAAGATATGCGTCAAAATTATTAAATAAAAGTGTTAATACTCTTATATACCTTAAAATAATTCGTATGGCATCTTCGATAATTGAAAATCCCGGAGGACTTAACACTGTTTCCGCTTCGCAAATCGCGCGAAGAATACATAATCGTCCAGGCAAATTTTGACTAAAATAGATAAAATGTAAATTAATTAAGAGAACCTATAGCCAAAACATAAATGAAACTTTCAGGATAGATCCCATAAAATTACATTTAATGGAAAAAAATTTTTTTAATTGTAAGATATTTAATACACATGCGAAAAAATTAGCATTTTAACATCAAAAATTATAATTAATTTTAAAATTATAAATTAATGTATATTAACAATTTTATTAATATATTTATATATTAGTTAATATAAAGTAACGTATATTAACAATTTTTTTAATATTATTTTAATTTGAGAATATATAAAATCTTTTATATTTAAATTCAATCTAATCCTTTTCAGTATTTTCTAAAAATGACACTTTATATATATTTATTTAACTGCTTAATTTTCTTTTACCTATTCAATGCCGATTCAAAATTGGCATAAAGTTCGCGTCTGTGTCGTCGTTTTAGTTTGAACGGACTTTTGATCGCAGTTTTCTTTAAATCTTCCTGACTAGGTATAGGCCATATCATATCAAATTCCAAATCGAGATTCCAGGGGCTTGGGCTATTAATCTGGATAGCTTTTAGCAGGGTTAAGGTTACCTAAACGAATAATACTTTACGTACATAAAATCATACATGAAATCACACTCTTTAATCGAAGATTATATAATTGAATCAAACGAAAAAAAAAATGTATTTTATTGATAAAAGATGAGAGAAAATAAAAGAAAAATTGTCTTACTTTAAATTGACATACATTTGAGATACTTGTATGAAATACTTGTACGTTTGCTACAATTTCATTCGCGAATCGAGGAAATACGTGTTTCGTAGTTCGCACGTACCACTGATAAACTTAATTCAATGATACTTCCCGATTTAATATAAAACGTGCTCATCTTTTCGGGACGGTTGGTCGTAAAAGTGCTCGTTATCGCGTAATATGAGGAAACGCCCGTCTAACTGATTCCTATCGATCTCCTTCGATCTCTCGCGGTGCGAGTAGTAGTACGCTCTCGTAAAAGTCCGACGTAAAAGGCCTTCGTCTCCGACTTACCACGAAGGCGCTTCCCTTCGGAAAAGCTAGTTCCCGTTTACGTCTGGGTAAGGTCTCCCCTGACCTCTGACCGGTAGCACTTAAGTCGGCGTCATTACGGTGACACACCGTCTCCCGTAGGAGCGACAACGAGTCCGGGATCTCGGCGAGGATCAGGACGAGCCACGGGGCTCTCATTTCTCGAAATTACCGGACGAGCGGACCAAAATCGGACGGTCTCTCTCTTTCTCCCGGGAGGCTCACGGAACGGAGAGCATTTTCAGAAAACCCGGAAACATCCTTCGCGGTCACGCCGAAATATTACACTTGCATTTTGCGCGCACTGCTCCACGACTCCGCCGCTGGGACGACGATATGGGAATGGCGTCTCTCTCTCTCTCTCGTTGTTTGCGCCGCGAATTATCACGCATCCGGTTTGGAACCACGAGAAATGATCTAATTGCTCGGACGAATATTTTGAACATCGCGTTAATTGCGCCCCGGTTCGAAGTGATATGGATTATCACGAGATCGTTCGCGCTGCAATTATCTCGCGGATGAAACGAATATTTCCCTGGAAAAATAAGTTACGTATTAATCGCGTGTAAACATTTTTGTGTACATTTCAACCGTGTGTGTACGAAGCTTCATGTAAGGGAAGACCGCTCCTGCGGTTGTGATAAAGTATGCGGTCCTATCTCGTACATGAACTGCACATACGTTCGTTCTCCGGTATATTTTATGTCGCGAGGAAGATATCTTTCCGGTGGTAAGGCTGAATAAATTTTAGTCTTTGTCAAGTTTTAATATTTCAGAACTGATATCGCGTAAAAATTTCAATACGAATGAGAACTTCTTCTAAATTCGTAATAAGACGGTTAATGCGCGGGAAGAAAAAATACACATAAATGATTGAAAAGTTCAAATTCGAAGAAAACTTACGCGCACAAAAAAGAAACATAACATATGGCAATTACATCTTTCGTTATAATCTTTGCAAGCTTTTTCGCAATTTATTTATTTATTAGATGGTTAAATTGGCGCTGATTTCCACGCGTTCTCTCGTATTCATCGAGCTTGGGAAAGCTCATTAATTCTGTCGGGTCGTAGACCATTAAAGTCTGACAAGCTGTCCTTCTCTTTTCCCATATTGCGGAGTCCCGTGGCTTTTCCATGCTAATCTTGAAAAATCTCACCGAAAGCTCGGTCGGTTTTTTATGAGAGCTTCATCGGCTCTCCGTTTTTCCCTCCACTCTCTCCTCGCGGTCTTCTGTTCGCCGTGAGAGCCCTTAAATTTCGTAAATCTCGCGAAATATATTCAGGGAAGCGGGCTGCCTGTTTTATCCAATCCCGAAGATCCGAGTGCTTTCTGACCACCTTCGCAGCTTCCATCCGTGGGGTAATTTCATTTTGGGCTTTCAAATCTCCTTGATTCTCCCTTTCCTTCTCATCCCCATTTTCCTTCTCCCTACTTAAACCCATTTTTTATTTCTTTTTCTCGAAGACACTGCCAGTTCCATTCTGCCATCCTTCCTTTACCGTGAAAATCGCGTGATTTATCTAACACTTAAAATCGAGCGCGATTTTTCCCGAGCTTTCGAGAGAGAACGATACTTCGGGAGAGATCCTTAGTTAATCGCGCAATTGCTTCACATAATGCGAGGAAAATTGCCAACGTAATCATGGCCGCGATAAGCTCTCTTTTTATCGATATTTTGCAGCATGCTCGAGACTCTCGATTTTCTCCATTACGGTAAATACTTGAAACATCAATTAGATCTACGAAGCACCCTCTCGTAGTTGCAACGCGCTTATCCGGGTCCACCATTTCCTCGACGTAACGCAATGTTACTCCAAAGTCCATTTTGCGCGTACATTTTGGTCGCCATTAAGGAAACCGGATTCATCTGTTTACCTTACAATAATAGGTCGTGTATGGAATAATGCACCACAATTCTCTCTTTCGCTTTCTCTCTCACTCTCTCTCTTGTTGACATGTACGCTTATTCTAAGACATCTGTAATGCGTTGCCTGTACGAAATTGCGTTCTATGTTTGCACGTACAGTGACGTTAAGCTAACGTAATACAATTTCCCTACTGAGAAACGTCAGCTGGGGTAGTCTCGAGTTTACATCACATATCATTAACACGAAGTCGATTCGCGTACAATCTCGTGCGATCTCCAAAACTATTTCTCTCGCAATATCACATTAACAATGGAATTTATTCGAAAATTTTTTATTCCTGTCTTTCAATTACGCAAAGATGTGTTGGCGGAGCTTTAATTTTTTGTTAACTAATTTTAAGAGGAGAAACGTCAAATTAGTCAAAGCAATTCTTTATTAAAAAGGAGCTATTAATATTGAGACATTTCAAGAGAGTGATTTCTTTTCATTTAAATTATCAGGAAGTTCCATTCAAGACCTACGTTAAATTAATCGAAAAATAAGATTTTATTATTCGTTGCATTGAACTGAAAAGAAGAAGTCTTTTCGGGAATAATTATAGAGTTCTGTTAAATTATTCGCAATTATTGAAAAGTGGATAGACTTCAATGAGAGATACACAGTATAACTTGCACTTTGTTGAAAGACTCTGTCTTTCTCTCTCTCTCTCTCTTTCTCTCTCGCTCTCTCTTTCTACGAGAGAGATCAGGTCTTTGAAAGTTCTGTTGTAATCCGAGCAATTTCGTAGTTACGAGGAAATTCCAAGAACGACGTCTACTGCATAATTCGAATTGCTGACATCATTGTTGTCAACATTGTTGTCGATCTCATCACATACTGACGGTTATTATTATTCGCTTTTATGTCGCGATATTTTGTCTTTTTTCTTATACGATTAAAAAAAAAAATTATTCAAAGATATACGATCTTTAACTTCTGTTAATGCATAATATTTTTCCTTTCCATCAATGTATGGATACCAACTGCGTATTTTTAACACATTACATCGCGACAATTTTGTTTGTAGCAACTGCTGAGCATCTTTCTCGTTATATTTTAGGAGGTTTCCGAATACAAAGGCTTTTTGTATTTTGTTTCGGGCAGAGAAAAATTCCGACACATTTTGAACATTTAAAGTTGCTTGGGGTGTCTGTTCATTTACAGAAGAGTTAAAGCTCACAGAGTGTTACTTTGCATGCTGCGCAGAAAGAGAAGCAGGTTTACTATTTAAACTTATTTACAACGAATGTTTCGCTGAATTTACGACGACCCAAAAGCTTTTAAAATGCACTTAAGAATATATATATAAAGCTCCCATGTGTATACTTCAAATAAACACACGAAATATGAGATATATATACATATTGTTTATAAATATAATACATTTTTTTATTACAATATATTATAGATGATACAACTCATCTAATTCTATTCAAACATTCCTGTCGAACAATAAAATGATACACAGTTTTGATTCTACAAACCAAACATTTAATACTTGAACTCTCATACATTTAAAGATTTAATACAAGACAAGGTTGTTTTAATATCGTCGAAGAAATGCAAAACATTTGTATTGTTATTAATACCAGAACTTGAACTAAAGCAATTAATAACTTATTGCATAATAGTCTATTGTCTCTCTATAAATTCCAAGTTTCCAAGGAAAATCCTAATCTAAATCTGATAATCCAATCTTTAGGAGTTATAGTTCGAGTACTTAATCTGATTACAAAGGAGAGAAAGATAGAGGAGAGAGGGATAGAGAGAATTCTCTGCGTGATAGCTGCTCGTTTCGCGATTGTGCGAGCGATGATCGCGCTGATTGCGGCACTTTAGAAGACATCTGGACACTTGGCGTGCATCTCGTCGCAATTCTCACCCAAGTGGTAACTTCGCTCGTATTCGGTCATCGGATCGATGTCGTAATGTCCTCCGGGTAGACTACGATCATTAAAACCCGCCACTGTTATCTTTCAAAGTGACATTAACAGAGAGACAGTTTCCCTTTATCATGTCACAAGGAATTTAATTTCGTTTTTTTTTTCTTACGTGAATGCAGCGTGCAGAATCTCCTCCAGGAAGCTTCCCTTTCCCACGTCTTCGCGCCTACGGCCGGCTGCCTTGCAGATCGCCTTCAGGACGCAGGCCTTGCCGTCCTTTTCCTGACTTCGAGAAACACAGGGGTGAGATTACACGGGGGTCGAAGATTCGGCGAAGAGCGGTGTAATTCGATGGTCGTTTGTCATTATCATCCTCGTTATCGTTGTCGGTCTCGCCCCCGAGAGTCGGCGGCGGTCTATTCATTAAGTTCGCGATAATACTAAGGGGGAAGGTTGATATTGTGCCGTGCACACGAAACGTTTCACTGTAAACCCGGGGGTTACAATGAACCGCGCGCTAGCGTCGTTTCGCGTCCCCTCGCTGAGCAAGCACTGGCAATTAGGCTATGGCTCCGCGCAATTAGAATTAGAGTAACCGTCTCACCCAGGATTAATCCCGCTGCTCGACTCTTAACTCGAAACTTTAGTATACGCGCGACTGTAGACGGCTGCGATCGATAAGACGTATATACGACTCTCGATCAAGAGGGTTTGCGAATACTCGAGGAAGAAGATGATTTATCCGCACCAAAACGGTGATTTCAGCCCCGGCGTGTTTGTATTATATAAGCGCGATCGACGAGCGCGAAATCTTTGGAGCATTTTCCGTTTTAACATCCCGTTACTTCTTGACGGAGTAGTATAAATCAAGGATTTTTCATCCATTAACATCCACGTGCTAAGATAGTCCGAGATTTCGTCTCGGAGAAATACGACGTGGGTCTTTGTGTTCGACGATTTAAACGGGAATATGCAAAATGTTTTTTATCATTTACGAATTCGGATTCAGCGTCGAGAGAAAAATGGTGAAAAAACTAATTCTTCTTTTCCAGAACGCATAAAATCATGCAGATCTTTCTAATCTTCTCGTATATGTGATGAACAAAGTACGACCCCTCGGGTAATCAAAGTTAATAACGGTTGTTTTTATTCCCGAGGATTATCTCGACGACGAGGACGGCTTAAGACGACGCAGCGCGCAATTTCGTGGCCGGTTGGCCGACTGTATCGTCCGCGAAAAACCGCGGAATAAAGTGCCGCGCGCGCGCAAGTATAACTCGCGGCCGCAAGTATGCTCGTTCGTCCGAGTAATGGCATGCAATTTTTTGTCGCGTAGTCGAGAGGGCGCGCGCGTCAAACTGCGCGACGGTTCCCATATATTTCTCCGCGTCGTGTGCATTTCGCGAAATAGCGGACCGCAAGCTCGCGTGCGTTATTTCTTCATGTCTCGCGACGCGAAAATGCAGTTGGTTGGTTGGTTGGTTGGTTGGTTGGTTGGTTGGTTGGTCGTTCGGTCGGTTGGCGTTTCGGAGCTTTCCACACCCGGGATTTACCCGATTTTGCGGAACGCGCCATCGCTGCGACGCGCTGCAATTATATCGAAAATCCGATTTAATCGGAGATTACATTAAAATACACGTTCTCGCACCGAATTGTCTGCCATTCGCGCTGTTTCGCGGTATGGGGATGCGAATATAAGTGCTGCTAATGGCTCTCACGGCCATTATGTCTTTTTCTCCCTTCCCCGAAGAGCAACTTGTCCCTATCCTGATCAACTGTCTGCCAACAATCGTACTCTATAACGTTACAAAAATCCATGTAAAAACGTGATTTAATTTCCATTTCTTGTTTCCAGAAAGAATTATTCCTAGCGCGTTTGAGAAATAATTCAGACCCCGAAAGGATTTTTGTCGCGCGAAGCCTTGCGATGATGGAAGCTTTTCTTAATCCGCCCATCTGCGAACACGCGTCGTTTCTTATTCTAAATTGTACCTAAATTATCGTCGTTTCGGGACTCGCGAACGAGATTCTCTGCCGCGTCGACAGACCGTGAAATTCATTCGTTGCGCGTGTTTCGCCCTCTCTGGCCGCAGTGTGTTATCCGGATTTCCCGAATAATTTTATTACGGTCACGCGCGAGCTCGCGGCCGAGCTTTACGCAGAGCTTTACGTATTTCAGGCAACGCAGGTTTTTCACGCGACGCGGCCAGCCGTCGAACAAGGAACGTCGATTACGTTGGGAAGAGGTGAATATAATCTTGCCTTAAATTCTCGGCTTTGCGATTCTTCACGCGACTTCGATCGCACCTAAACGAGAAACGTTTTCCTCGAACAAAAAAAATGGAAACATTTTCTCCACGCAGATAAGGAAGACGGCGGGTTCTCCTCGGTAATAATAAGTTGGCGCTTATTTTTCTTCGTATTAGAAAACAGCGAACTCTCTCTCTCTCTCTCTCTCTCTCTCTCTCTCGCCTTCTTGCTCGACAAGTTACCGAAGCAAAAATCTCACCGATAAGTCACCCTTCGCTCTCTGGCTGGTTTCAATAGAATTACCATTTTTCCATCGAGAGACTTTTCATCGAGGAAGAGAAAGAGAATATAAATCCGATCAGTAGAGAAGAACAAAGTAGAGTCGGACGCGAAATATAATATAATGGAATACGTATTTGATTTTTCCCGATGAATGACAAAATATCGCGGTAATCGTGACAATGGCAGCGATCCCGATTTCTCTGGTATATATTATTTTTCATTTACATAATTTTTTGCGGCCGCGTAATTATAATACTATAATATAGGAGTGAAAAAGAAAGAGAAAACGGTCTGGAGAATTCTCCCCTTCTCTCTCTCTCTCTTCCTTCCTTACTCACGTTCTTAACATTAGCTCCACTTTACGATATAACTCTCTTCTGCTTCGACGATGATAAACCTCGGCTGGCTTCCCGTATGGCACGGTATTTCTATAGGGTAGTTCCCACGCCAACCCGGCAGTGACACCGATGACGAACATTCCTTGGGGCTTCGAGTACGTGCTCACAGTTAGGCAATAGACGAGCTAATAATACAGTGAAAGAATAAAAAAAAACACGAGAACATAAATAAGAAGATTAAATTATTAAATCAAGTGAAATTTAAATAATATATATATATATTTTTTTTTTAATAATTTAAAAAGAATGAACAACAGATCACTTAATTAAGTAACTTGTATATTTTCTAAATAATCTCTCATCTTATTGTCCTATGAGTCAGTGTATATTTGTGTGAATGTAGCGTATTTTTAATTAATTATTTCTCTGTTATGTACGAGTTACTGATTATTATTTCTACTTTCCACCTAGTTTGCTATTACTCTCGGAGGTTGCCGCGCTTATTAGAGTCTTTTAAAACGTTATGCACATGAAGCAAGTTCCGTTTCATTTAGCATATATGAAACTTTCCTAAGCTTAAACTATATCTAGAATTTATGTGTTGCGCCATAGTATACAACTTGGCGGAAACTCTTTACACGCGGCCTTTCGGTATCGACCTGTCTGGCGCGCGTTTCCGTCAAAACAAAAACACGAGAAAATTATGATTTCATTTTAATAATAACGAGAGCTCCGGCGAAATCCAAAAGCGGGAGTGTAACAGGTGCGTTTACGCTCACCTTAACATTTTCTCCCAAGTTTATGCATCGCAAATTCGCGGACTTGACGCGAGAAGAGGCGACCGTAATTGCCATTTCAGCGAGAATTCGCTCTCTCCTTTTCCTCTTGTAATATATGTATGTAAAATGAAAGTTTATCTTACTTGAACGTTGCTGCCTTGGGGGAATATCAAATAATTAATGCCAGCTTCTCTCTCGGACCTCACAAACGGGTCGTTTGGGTGTGTCATCGTCGTCGAGTTGGTCGGTTCTGCGAAGCGTGGCGCGAGAATACCTAGCAGAACGAGGTGTCGGAAACGATTGATCAACATCGCGGCGCTCAAATTTCATGTTCCATCGAACGGAACTAAAGTCCTAATCTTAACTGATAGAATACGCTTGGATGCGCGAGCCTCTCCGTACGCGGTGAACACTCGAGGGCAAACGCTAACTACGTTCGCGTACGTGTCGAAGAGCAACGGTACTCCGAGACGGTTATCTTAACGATATTAGTTAAGCGAGGAATAATTTTACTTTTCGCTCTTCTTCGTTTTCCTTTCTCGGGGGAAAAAAATAAAAGTGGTTTACAAAAATGTGCGCAATTTGCGCATGAAAAAAACATTGCTTCGTCAAGTGATATTTTAAGCAAGTAAATGATCAAATGAAATATATTAAATATTTTTATGAACATTTTTCATATATTTTGATATCTCCTGCGTTAAATTTTTTTATGTAAAAGAAAATTTATCCATACACTTGCTTATTATTCTTTTGTGTGTTTTCCTTTCATATATCATTTTCTCGATATAATAAAAAAATTACACTTTTATTCCTTATAAATCACAATTACCTAAATATTGTCATTTGCACAATAATATGATAATTATGATAATATAATTAGTAGGATCAGGCATTGCAAGAACAATTATTAAATTAGCATTTTAATTGATTATCGATTACATTAAAATAAAGCATGAGCCGATTAAACATTAATCTGATTCAAATTAGTATTAAAGCGTACGGTTTGCTTTCTGCAAATACGATAATTTATTACTTCAGAAAGTCGTTAACTCTCCCGTCAGAATAACCCCGTGTACAAAATTTATTCGCACAACAATTATTTCATATTTCGCGGATTACGTGGGCGGATACTAAAATCATCGGCGATTCCACGTTTTTAAGTCCCGTGGTAAACGATCCTGCAATAATTTGATTATCATTGAAATAAATTTCCGGCTAAAATAACTAGGACACGACTAAACCCGAGCACGATATACATATTATCGAATCAGACGCGTGCCAGTAATCTAATTTAAGCCGAATATTACATGCATCGCAAAATTATATTTTGCGCGAGGCAACGAAAGCGGAATACGCGCGTGAATATACATATATAATAATAATAATAATGATGATAATAATAGTAATAATAACAACAACGTCGGAATATTATTTTCGAGTGGGAGGATGAAATTTTATACCGATATCGAAAATATCCAGCTTGCGATTTTATGAATAATGATTTTTTTACGCGCTTTTACTTTTAAAGTAATTTTATAGGATTTTTCCAACCCAAGTTATTAAACTATGTGTTACATCACGATATAATATTTTGTTGTTCGATACATGAGCACAATTGCTATATACTGAAAAAATTATCGAGTGAGTACGATATTATTTATATATTTGCTATCGACTCTTCCTGTCGTGCGCGACGGTATGTATAATATATGTATATATATATATATATTTATTTCATGACATATTATGCGACATTACATATTACATTTAATCGCGAGCGTTCGTGGAATGTTCCGATCCGTGAATCGGCTTCTGCGATTGAATATCGATTAGTCATTGGTTACAACAAGACGCGGAGATGTATTTGGCATATTTTATATTCGTATTAAAAAACAAGAAGAAGAGGGAAAAACTAACCGCGGGATGCGTTCCATCGCGGAGCACTCTACAGAAATGAACCATAAATCGACGAGAGAACCGAGCGACCGTTTTATTAATGCAAAACGTCGTGAAATTATTCGAAACCGCGCCAAAATGAATTACACGTTGCGGAAGTAATGTAATGACCGATATAGAATATTCATGGCGCGCGAGAGCCTCGCGTGAAACTTTCTGAATTTAACCCCGGAATTGTCGTTGATGTTAAATAATCGTTTGTTGTCGTGCGACCCATCGACATATATGTACACACATACCTATACGTGCACGCGAAACATAACTGCGGAAATGCAATATTATTGTTAAAAATCATGCAAATCTCGAAATATTTGCCTGCTCGAATTGACAAAGCAAATACAATATATATTTACAATAAAATATCAGAATATGAAATTAAGAAGAGAGAGAGCGCGCGAATGGATTGTCACCCATTTATTAAATAGCTTTATATGCACATATATTATATGCTACATAGTATACATATATATATGTATAGCGACCATATGTGGGACGGCTTGTGACAAGATAACGATATTAACATATACTTAATTAGTATGTTAAACTAAAATATAATGTATAAATAATTTACATCGCGTAATTAGATTTTCTCTCGATTAACGAGTTGCGTATAAGCTATATCCCTATTTTAATGCAAATATCTCTTTTATCACGGAAAACTCTCCGAGTAAAGAAAAACAAAACCGGTGAAATCGCTTTTTTTTTTAAGCGACAACGTTTGAAAAGTTTGAAGTGACAGTCAAACCGACCATGCGATAGGTCAACGCGTTTTATCGCAGTAATCGGAGATCGATATTCGCGGATTAACACGCGCGAGGCCAGGGCAGATGTCAGGCTGAAAAAATCGGCTATATCGTCGGCTAAGGCCTCGCTATCAGATGTGCGCTTGTCACGTTGTCATTGCTTTCGGGAAACAAAGTCACTCGCACTTTCAAAAATCCATGTCGTAAATGGAGTATCGACACGTCGGATACATTGTCTCGCAGTTTCCATTCGTCTCGTACGCGCGATCGTAAGCCTGATCTTCCGATCGTTCGAATCTGCCGCCGTCCATCGGCAACCTGCGAAGGCAGAAAATTATTCTTGCAACCCCTTGCGCTTTAATTCACGCTAAGAATAACAAAGCCAAGAGGCTTTGCGTCTGTCCCTTAATTAAGGCGGAAGATTAACGCGCTCTAGAGCTCCGAAGAGCTCTCGTTTCGCGAGAAGGAAAACGAAAACTTAATACAATCGTGTAATCTAAAGAGAAATTGATTACGTTTAAGAGGATCTTTCATTTATTATAAATAGAATCGCGATTACACTTACGTGAAAATTGCGTGGAGAAGTTCTTGAACGAAGGAGCCCGTACCTATTTGAGTGGGATCCCGCTGGCCCGCTTCGCAGAGGGCCCTCATCACGCAGGATCTACCGTCGAGGCCGGTGCTACCGATAAAGTTTAATTTCCTTCAGCATAAACTTTGACGACAGCTCGCCGCCTTCCGAGCGCGAGAACAATTATGCTCGAAATTATTTCGTTTCTAATTACAGCTAAAAATAATTGCGCCCTTACGGTGCGTAGCTACAGCAAATTAGAACTACAATATTATTCGAATTAAGTTTTCTAATAGGTTTTTTTTTAAATAAATTATCATCGAGCAACCAAGTTTATATAACGATAAATTCATTACGTAAAACTCGCTGTAGACAACCTTTGATGTTGCAAATCTTTTCGGATAGTTACGCTGGACGACAGTGTTGTCTCTCGTCAGACCGGATGCATATTGAAATATCGGTAAAGTCGATCGAAAAATGTGAAATAACACGACACTCACGATTGTAGGAAAGCCTCCATTTTCGGATATACGACGCTACGGCTTCGACGGTGAAGCAAATTCGATATCTTTGAGTCGACCTTATTCGGAAGTTCCCAGGCTAAGGCAGCTGTCAGTCCCAGCACCAAATCACCTTCTCGGCCGTACGCTCCGATAGTCAGACAATACACTAACTGGAAAATACACGGAACATTCACGCGCAAATTCAGTTTTCCACGTAAATTTCGCAGAGCGGCGAGGCACTTTACTTTTCTACTTTATCCGTGTACCGAAATTTAAGAGAGGATGAAAGAGAAGAGGGAGAGGAGCAATAAAATCACGCTATGAAAAGTATACAAAACGTTTGCGAAATACTTGGCCAAATTTATACGGCGCAGCTTGATTTTCTACAATCCTTCTCCGCGTGTAATATAATTTCGTTTAAAATAATATAGCTCTCCCTTTCCTCTCTTTTTAACTTTGATTGTCTGAAATTGTAGATAAGAAAATGTTCTCTCGAATATCAGATTTTTAGCAGAATTGTTTTAACATTTATTATATTATTTCACGAAAGATTTATATGCGTGAAAGTTTTATATGAATTACGACAAGGATGGCAAAAATTATCGAATTAACAAAAGACATATAAATATTAAAGATGGTTCTTTTTTTGCAAGCGTTATTTAAATAAATTTACCTGAAAATTACTACCCTGCGGAAAAATCAAGTACCTCTTAGGTCGCGATAAGATTTTGGCCGCGACATCGATCTCTGTTGCGTTCTTATCAACGATCATTGAACCGGTGCAGAGAATTAACCAATTTAAGCATCCAATAAGAAAAGAAAGCCGGTAGTCTGACATATCCTTCGTACGCCAGAATATCAATATTTTTTGTGTTGCATTATACGCACCTCGTCTGTAAAAAATACAAGTTTTTATTCAAAATTACAAAACCGAGATCTCTTAAAATCTTTGCGACAGGAGTTTCAGAAGATGATCCTATAAAATTTAATTTCATATACAATTTTTATTACAAATTTACAGCGCACCATAAATAAATCGAGCTTATTTAATATATATTAATTAATAAAAAAAAACTCACGGAACGGCATAAAACGAAATCACATGACACAAGCTTTCGAGATCCCGTATATTCGTTTCGTCATCGATCAGCGATTTGTCACGAGGTAGTCGCTATAGTCACAAAATTGTTACACTAACTGATCCTGATCAGGAGTGAATGATGAATGTGAAGATTTGTGACGAGGCAATTTTCGCTAACAGTAACGACGATTATCGGGATCATCGTACCTTCGCGTCGATTTAACGGCTCGTGTTCGCAACAATTACTTAGCCAAACAGAACGAGCGTCTGTTTACACGCACTGGCGTTATATTTACATCTCATATAATCGTTGTATCTGTATCTTGTACGTTGTTTAAACACAAAGTCTTGCGCAAGACACGGAACTGAGACATTATTGTTCCCGTTATTACCCGCGTTCCTACTGCGCGGTTTCCGCAACACATTTTTTTCCATTTACAATTCGCTCCTTGATGAGAGAGGGAAAATTTATAACGAGCGCAAGATATTACAACATCGGCGCTGAGAAGAAACGTGGAAAGAAAAAGAGCATTTAAAACACATATATACTCTGGAATGAAAGCAATGACTTAATATACATATATGTATGCATATAAGGCAGAAGAAACAAAGATAAATATATACAAATAATTTACCTACGCATTGTTTCATATACAAATTGTATATTAAAGACGATTAGCACGAAAAGCACACATCGAAAACGCCACAATTAGAGTTATTAATAATATTAAATTTTTCATTTGATAATATAAAAATTTCATATTTAATACATTTTTTGAAAGTTTGGTATTTTTAGAAAATTCAATTTTGAGATTCTTTATCAATATTTAATATCGATAGAAAATTATTATTTATATATGCAATAATATATACAAATGTACAACATATTGAGCGTGCAAAGTTGTATTATCTGCTTGTTTTTGAAAATTAGTTTCGGTAGAACTTTTATGTTTACGATTTAGATAGTCTAAGCACACGAAGCAAGTCGGCGTTGTTATAATAGTAGTAGCAAATTTTAACTTGTGTGTGACTCTCTGAACCATGAAAATAAAACTCTTTCTCTTTCTCTCTTCTATTTTTTCTCAAATAATAATAAATTTCAAAGATACGACAAATAAATTGCTTCGTAATGTGAGATTGTAACCGGTGCTACATTATAACTAAAAAAACTTAAATATAAAAAACGAGTGCGCGTCGTTTTTTTTTTCTTTCATGCAAAAGCAATTATTTAGAGAGAATGCACGCACGCATTTTGTGTAATTAATAATTTAACGAAAATTGCAAAGTTGCATTTCGATTCGCGGTGTGTTTACTTCGTATGTGGCTGATAGTTGCTCGAGTTTCGCATACATCGAGAACTTTGCGGCCCGAAGTAAAATGCGGAGCCACACCGTGCAAATCCCCGCGTGGATACAAGTCCACAAACTGTATCCGCAATTAAGAAAGTGGACGGAAAGTCGATAATTACATTCTACGTTCTTCTTAAGTTCGCGAAGATTCTTCGAATACTCTGTTAATTAAAGGCTAGAATATTTAATTCGCTGATAGAAGACCGATACATGTTGCGCTGCACGCAATAAAAAAAGCTTTACAACGAGTTATCCCGTTGGAATACAAAGTTAATTTATCTCTCATTAAACTTCCTACATCTTCTTATTAAAAGATAATTAAAAAAAAATCAACAATGCACATTTTTTTTATCTTTATTTCAAATTTTGTGCGTCTGTATTCTTTAATACTTTTCGCAATTACGTGATTCATGCGCATCTTTATTAATTATTTCATACATAAAATGTAAACAAGATAAGAAATCAAAGATGATACATTCTTAACAAAATTAAATGTTTCTTTATATTGCGCATTAAATATTTTTGCATAATTGTGGAGTGCACGAAAAAAAGCTCGCGCGATAAAGATGCGAGATATCGGAATAATAAATAAAAAGCGGGATGAGCAGCGGAGAAGATCGTCATTTAATTTCACTTGGGATTTTCCAGTCCATTTCACCGTCGCGCCCTTTCAACCCTTTATTATCTCGGGCGAATAACCGCTGCTATCAGCAAATCCCTCTCGCATACACATCCACCACGGCCGAATCTTTTGTGTATCGCCAAGCACGTAATATCAGCCGCTCGGCTGGATCAAGCCTGACAAAGCCAGGCCCTTTAACGTACCTTTGCTTTTTTCCCTTTTTCTCTCTCTCTCTCTCTCTTTCTTTCTCCTGTGCCGTCCTTGCAACGGAGGCGCATAGTGCTTTCCGTTAATTGCATACGGGAGTTGTATGTACGCGTGGCCGGTTTTCTGACAAGAAAACCACAGAGCATTCTAAATTAATGCTTTTCGTTAACGCGCGGCCCGCCGGGACCGGATGCAATTATAACCCGTTCTCTTCTGGAATGCGACACGCGACGTCCTCCGCTGGGATAATGACGCGGACAGAAACGGGGACGATGCGAGCCGCTCTTAAAGGGCGGCATCGGGAGAGACTCGCATTCGCCAAGTCTCCAATCAAGAGTGTCCGCGTTTAATCCTGCCGCACCGGTTTATCGCAGGAACGATGGCAGATTGATTTTATTTGTGCGCGACTGTATCGTTCACAGAAAAAACAGTATCCTTGAAAGAATGCAAATATGCCTTGATTCAAGTATATTTTATTCTTATAATAGCGCCAAATATAAATAATTTTGGATAAAGGATAATTTATCCTTAAAACAAAGTGCAAAATATTATTGGTTGAAGCTGAAATTTACTTATAAATATTGCAAGGACAAGTGACAAGTGAGGATCGGATATAAGCGGTATTTTCAAGTATATATAATAATTCTTAGTTCAAATGTGACTAAGTTTGTTTTTACGATATGCGATTTTTCAAACAAGAATATATCTTAAAGATAAAATATACTTTACACAAACTTATTTATTATTAAGGCAAATAAAAATTTGTGATTACAAAGAGCATTCTATGCTTAAATCAATCAAATAGCGTTCAAGAATAAAAATATATTTGAATCAAGGATTCCTTTTTTTCTGTGTTGGTGAGACTTCCGTAGGGAAAATGGAAACGTGCACTCGTAATAATGTACGTAACGAATGGTTACCGCAATTGTGGCGAACCGTCGGGGATGTGGAAAGGACATTTTTTACTGCGTTTCTTGCGTTCGCTGATCTTCGACACGTTATCGATACAATTTTTTCGATGAAGCAATACAATCGGCAGTATAATATTTTATTTGCAATTGGCGACAGAATTGAATTTTACGACATCGACGCGATGGTATAGACGTTTTATGATTTTTTTCTGTTTGCAAAAATGTATCGAAATATATCTGCGAAATAACTATACGTCTATAACTCTCGTAGACCTCTTGTGGATGAGTGTTGGGAGAAAAGGAAATTTGAAACTCGGCTCTTGTTCGGAAACACCGTGGTTTCCCTCGACACTTCGTCTCATGCATGTGGATCGTTAGAAATATATATCGTGGCACCGAGAAAAATCATATGTAACCCATGTTGAATCATTGATTTATGATAAAAAGTTTTAGCTCTCCGGGTTCCGACGTGGTTTCTACTATTTATCTCCATTAACGTGTTTACTCGGGGATAATTATTAGAAAAACAATTCCTCCACGCCCCGTATTAATTACCCCGATTGTCCGGATACGAAATTAACAATTCATATTTTCGATCGTTATTTGCGCCGGATACCGACCTTTGATGTCCTTATTTGAATGCAGCCCTCCACCATCATGGACGAAACTTGAAATAATTACATCGCAAATTCATTTACGTGCTAATAAAGCAATCTTACAACGCCGTGTACATTTATAATGAAATAAACTGTGTCAGGGGATTCATCGTGGGGCAACAATGCACAGCAATTAAAAGTACGTATTTACGGAAAAATAGTTCCTTTGTCAGCACACAGCTCCGTGAGAATCGTGCAAGAAATGTATTTAAAACGAAACAGTTTTAACGTCATTGTATAGAAAATATAATATAATGCTGACAGCATCCTCGCGTATTGGCCGTATATTATAATTAAAATTCATTACAATAGTTATACACATGAAATACTTTTGCATACAGTCGACAGTCAAACAATGAATGCTCAAAGACCTGAAACTTAAAAAGTAATCGAAATCAAATGCGAAAATGTTTTTCCCGCGAGAAAATTCTTTTTTTTTTTTCTTTTTAGGTAATGCTTCATTATTATACACGCGCGCGTGAGTGTGAACTTTTTATCATATTATTTAGATACCGTGACTTTAGCTCATTAGCGTAATTGTAAGCCCGTAATTATAGCCTGACTTCTGAATAATATGTGTTTGCGTTGGCAAATGGCGAACGTAAAGTGGGGCATTTTTTAATTGCCAGATAGTCGCGCGATAGTCCAAATTAATGCTTTTCGTTGGAACTGGACCAGCGCTGCTCGTGAGTAGCAATTATAATCGTCCTGTCGCGGAACATGACAGGTAAAGGAAGAGAAAAAGAGAGAAAGACAGAGAGAGAGACAGGTAGAAAAGGGAGAGGGAGAAAAGAGAAAGAATAATGCACGAAAACGAGAAATATTTTTTTTTTCACGGTAGCCATTATACGAAGACAAATTAATGGCGCTGAGAGCCGTATATAACGTCCAGTAGAAATATCCTTTCACTCATTTTTTTGTAATATGTGCTTGCACTCTTTCTCTCTTTCCCGGTCTTTAGAGTTAAACGTATATTTTTACTACATTTAGTCGGCTGACGTACCACCATATTTTATCGCTTGCCGTGTCCGGTGCCCTGGAATAATTCGAGTGCGGTTTTGCAGCGTGACAAATGTTTCATTAACCGCTGTCATTTCTCACAGTGTCATCTAGTGATAACCGCATAGGGACAATCGCGCAGGAATGAGGCAGGTCTTCAAGCGGTTTTTTTTTTTTTTGTAACGTCCGTGCTTATTTCAATGTGAAAAATGGAATCTCTTACAAAAAACGACTAGCAGCAACCTCGGGCCGACACGACAATTTTATATTATACTCAACTGTACACATAACTGTGTTTACTTTCTTCGTTTTCTTCTGTGAATAATGTCGCTTTATTTTTAACATGCATCACATTCGCAACATTATTATATTATCGCAATAACATTCGAACATGGAATAAGAAAACAACAGCTCGATTTGTCTCTATCGAAATGTGTGATTTATGAATAATAATATTATATAGAACATTAACTTTTGAAAAGAATTACATGACAATATATTATTTGTATATCCGTTTTATTTTCGATAAAGAAGTAATTATTCGCTAATTCGCACTTTCTAGTCGAAAAAATGTTAGCTCTCCGTAAAACTGTTAAATCCGATTAATTCCAGAGGACAATTATTGGAGTGACGTTCACAGAACAACGGATCTTCGTGCCAAGTATTATTATTACTGTACGATCTGAAAACAACGAAACATTATTAATACTCAATGATTAATAAAATCAATTATATATAAAATTGAAATAAAATTAATATTATGACACACTCACCTCGCGAATAACTTCAATATCTTTCCTATAACGCCGTCCTGCTGCCTCGCGTATTTTAATACTTGACAAACGTTCTTCAGTAAACAAGAACGACCGTCGAAACCGTGACTGAAACATTGGTATTTATCGCACTCGATCAATTTATTGAAACACAACCAGAAGAGAGAGAGAGATGCATTATCGAGATAAAACCGGAGTACCAATTAGAATCAATGAATTCAACTCAATCACGGTAATTACGCTACTGGAACGAATGCCCGATATTTCAATGATATTGAAAAATGATGATTTAACGTAAATCCAACAAGCGTTAAAATCTTGTTAGGGAGGATTCGAAATTATCGAAAAATAATGATCGTTATAGAAATATTTATTGCGGAGAGAATCTCACCCAGTTTAGCCCATAGTTATTCTAATTACCTCCGTGTTATCAATTGCGTGTTGGGAATATTTTAAATGAAGTTTCCGGAATTGTGTGTGCGTCTGGCAAGTTCCGAGCAAGCATTACACTGCAGCAGAAGTCGACGGCACGGAAGACGGCATTGCACCACATTGGCGGTTGCCTGGCGATCCCGCTGGCAACGGATGTCTTCGGTCAGTCGGCCGGAAATACATCCCCTTCTGGGTTTAACCGCTTGACCGACCCTTCGACTCCATCGCTCCACCGACCGCATTCCATCCTCGGACCCCATCTCTCTCTCTCTCTCCCTCGCGATATTGTTACCGTTCTTGCATAATGCAGCCCCGACTATTTACAGTATTTATTACCTTTCGTACACGAGCTCCGCGCACTCGTAAATGTCAGGCGCGGACCGGATGTTGCGAGTGGAGTCGCCGGCGAACGGTAGTTGCCATGTCGCCTTAAAGCCCGACGCTTGTGCGAAGATGGTCGTGTAAGGGACCGAGTTTATCTTGTAATTCAGCCGTAACTGAAAGACATCATTTATTCACCTGTGAATCCCGCGGTTATTTTCGAGTCGACTGTGTGTCGGTCAAACGAGAGTCCAACTTCTCGCGTAGGTATGTTTTAGAAAATGACGCAACTGAGGGTATAAGGTGGACGAGAATACTCTGGAGATATGGATATATTGAAATGTTTCAGTGTATCTATATATATATTGATATTTCAATACATTTAATAAAGTGATTGTAAAATTATTCCGGGGAGAGATATATTTAAATATTCTATTATTTCGAATATATGTATATTCTAATGTCTCAATATTTTTGTCCATACATGTTTGAATAAATCAGAATGTGATAGAATAGATATAGTTGAATAAGTTAGGAAATTGGTACTCTCGAATATTTACAATTTAATTTGAAATTTATCGCTTGATTATTATCGTAAGTAAAATAATTTTAAATTTTGTACACAGTCTGCGTACACGAAAGACTCCTCTAAGAACAGAATCGAAAGGAGAGACGCGAAATCGCGCGCTGGAAGTCGCACGAAATTTCACCTGCGGAATTTGAAATCATAACTTTGTATCAAAGGATCGCGGGAATATATGAAATTCCCGTCGTAATCTTCATGAGAGAGAGAGAGAGAGAAAAAGATTTTCTGAATTTTCGATCGACCGTTCAATCCGGAATTGCCGGAAACCTTATTTTCATTTTATTTCGAAATGTATTCTAAATTATACATTATTTCCCTATCTAAGGCAAAAAACGGCTCATTCTACGACTGTAATTTTCTTGCCTGTTATTTTCTTCTCCCCCATAAGGATCGCGCCCCTCGTGATTTTATCTTTACGCCTATAAATAACGAGACACTTATCGTAAAATTACGTCACCGCGATTCTTACGAGTTATTTCCCTCATTATTCGCGCGAGCAATATAGCGAGAAAATCCTCCACGTCGCTCATCGATCTCTCGCTTAAATCAAGTTCTCGGACACGAATTTATCCTAAGAATTTTAAAAGATATTTGAGAGATTATCGGAGATTTTGTAAATTCTATTATAATGCTGCTTGACGCTTCTTCATTCTTATTCTTTTTCATTCGAAAAAATGCTGCTAAAAACAGCAATTATATATACATTATTTAATATTTATATATACAAAAATGTATATAAATCGTTGGCGCGAAATTGTTGAAATCTCAATAGAGAATGAAGAACAACAAAGTCTTCTCGTAGCATTTAAGATAGACATGAAGGCGCGGGATATTCTACATCGCGTATCCTACGATGAGACGTGTATACTGAATTAGCTAACAATAGTTCTCAACTAGTTATTCGCTAGTGCGTCTATTCTGAATCGCGCTTGATCTCGACGTATTTCCTCCTCGCGCAAGAAGCTGACAACGGGGATAGAACTGTGCCGGTTCCATCCGCGATGCCTATTAACCCGCGGGTTGAATCGCGCCCTGGTATTTCTCCCATGTAAACGCGACAGAAGGATGGTGTCGCCTGGATCTGGCAAGCCGTTTGTCAGACGCTCGCGTTCCGCCACCTTACCATCTCTGTTTCTTAACGGCCGAAAATACGATAAGGCGATCGGATTTATGCGCCCCAGCCCAACGAGACGAAATATGTATGTGCGCTGGATCGTCGGATGTGTGTGTGTGTGTGTGTGTGTGTGTCTATAATTTTCCGGCAGTGCTCTACCGCTTCCAAAACGCGTCCTCGGAGTTGCAAGAAAGAAGATAAGAAGCTAGATGGACGGGGAATGTGACGGTCGCGCAACTTTGTGCATTTATCGGGACTTTCGAAGATATTCAATAGATGAGCCATTAGTATGCAAAAAAATGACGATGATAATTATTTCATAACTTTTTATGTTTTTTTATATACATTTTTTATATTTAAAATCTAGATATATAATCTTATATCGCGAATAATGATCGATCGAATGGCTAATAATTAATTTCCGATGCATTAAATATTTTATTTATATTATATAAAATTTTATAATGTAATTTTATAATTGATTTTTTAATTGAAAATGCAAAATCGACATTTGATGCTTTGTTTTTTTAAAATATTTACATCGCGTCTCTTTTAATCGTGAGAAAAGAGGAATGTGATATAGATAATCATTCAGTTATAAAATAAAAATTCTAATTTATACAATATATTGCAATACAAAATTTAACTCTCCCGACGAATACACCTTGGTGAGACTTTGAAAAAAATTATTCACCGATGGAGATAGCTTAGATCTTTCTACGTAACTAGGCTATAAAATTCGGCGCGTCCAATAATTTTTTGAAATAGTAATTAATTTGAACGCTGCTTTAATTTAGATTTTATTTTTGTATGCTACAGACAACAGCCCGAACATCAACTACTCCGCATCGATGTCGGTGAGTGAAATAAACTTTTATTTAATTTTGAGGCAACGATTTATAGATCGTAGTCGTAGATTGTAGATTGTAGATAAATTCGTTGCCTGCTGGATAGATCAATGAATTAGATCAACTTAGATTGAATTATTGACAGATTTAATATATACATAATTAAAGCATATATTACACATAAAAGTGTAAATTAAAGAGAGATATGAAGAATTTTAATTTAGATTTTACTTACTCATTTTATTTAAAGAACGCCCTTGTAATAAATAATCTGTCAAGTGTTGCCATATATGTTGGCGTTAGGGCTATAACGAGACAATGTTGATTCATGCATATTGATCTTAAGCCATGTTCCCACTCTGTACATCGGATAATGTACATGGTAAACACGGTGCATATCATCGATATTGCGGTGCACTTCGTCGTAAGTGCACCGGATCATCACGAGTTGCATAATTCTTCTATCGAGTACAAGTTGGCCCAAAAGCTCGGGTCTTTCGGAGATACTTGCTATTTTCTTAGGGAACAAACAATATCCCTTTTTGCTTGTTGCGTTCAATTTTATCATATTTTAAAAAGCAATTCTACATTTATAAATATTATTTATAATCACGATTGCGTAGGTCTCTATAAATCAGAATTACTTCCTTCATCCCGTCAATACAAATCGCAGATGGACACTCTTTTGACATATAATTCTCGTACATTAAGGGACATCATTAAATATAAAAGTGTCGAGAATATTCGGAAATATAATATAGAAGAGAAAAAATGTACATATACTGCGACAATAAAAATAAACACGAAAACAGGCGCAAAATTGCGCAATTTTGACATTAGTATGTCCCGAGTATATCGGACCTTTCGACGAAGCATTGCATTTGCCATGCATACGCGATATCCCCAATAAATTTCCATCGAGCTGGATCTCATCTTTTGGTTTGTACGTACTTATCGTTACGGGAACTCGGAAGCTTCATCCCGTATTAATGGCTCGAGCTACATCGTGCTTCAAAATATGCCCGTCATCCGGCGGCTTCGTGCCTTTTAAAGCGAAAATACGGACGAAGCCTCGATCGGTTTACATTATAGCGAGTCTCGTGTACATATAGGACATAAATTTACCTCTCTCTCTCTCTCTCTCTCGCTTTCTCTCTGCAACGACACACCAGACGCTGCATAAACAGTATGCACCGGCACGGATGATACGGGATGTTATCCAACATTGATTCTTATATGGCTTTTTACGACCCGTTCGAACGAGCGATCCATTTACCTGCCATTGATGCACCCATGTTCCTTTAATACGTGAAATTGGGAGTGATGCTTTTTTCACGGAAGTGAAATAGATGGATTTCCATCTATTTTATGCTCTTCCCTTTTCGCATACCCCTCACACACAATTTCGGAGGTAGGATTAATTCGCATATTTTCATTAATACCGCGCGGAAATCCACAGTTTATTACATTCCGTAAAATGTAATACTGTATCCGCGCATTTTACCAAACGCGTGCTTCGAATAATTTGCAGTTAATTGCAAAACGATCGCAAATTACGATTGAGATTTATGATGATGCTGAAGCCTAGAGTAGATTTTTCTAATCGTTCACAATCGTGTAAATTTTTTCTATATTTTTTCCTATAAGTATTTAAAATATACATTTTAATAACTCCCGTTTTTCGCGTTAACGAGAAATAAATTTCTCACCTTTGACTTTCAATAAAGGAAAATTCAACAGGGAATAAATGCAGCAGGGAGCACGTTCGTTTGCTAAGTTTTAAAAAATGCCGTTTTACGGCTGTCAAAAATAAATTTGATATTGCGATATCTAACACGCAAGTTTATTCTCAAAGGCGTCATGTAACAGGTACTTTCAGAAGGATAAGATTTATTCGCGCTACGTTTAACGAAGCCGAATGCGGAATCGTATAAATTACGGAAGGTGAGGAAGATATTTTCTATTATATCGCATTTCGCGCACAGCTGTTTCGCGAAAGACGAAAAAAGCAAGCACCTCATTGCATTTGAATATCGAAATTCGGGAAAAGCGACCGGTTCGGAGAAGAGAGAAACGGAGAAAAGGGGAGAGAGAGAAAGGATACGATTTGTACAAAAATAAATGGCAGAAAAACCGAAATAATCGGAGAGAATTACTGCGCGGACGGGAATTTGCGTAAAAAATTCCGCAAATCTCTTCGTCGGACGGATATATTTTCGCGTATCTATCTCTCGTCCAACGGGATAATGAGAATGTAATTAATTTAAAATGATATATCATTCGGCCGCATTTTGCAGCGCGATGCAGATGCAAAAATATTTCCGATGACATTCTTCGTGCAACACGTTCGATCGAGCCGAATATGTTACATTTATACAAATATATACATTATATTTCACAAACGTATCCCTACGATATTTTCGGTGTCACGTTGAACCACGTATTTCGAACGTATGGTTATATATATATATATATATATATATATATATATATATCTGCTACGTTAGAATTTCGATTTGGAGAGTCAAAGCGGGACAATCATACGCGAAATGCTCTGTGAGATTATTGCGATCTTCGCTTTCTCTATACCATCCAGATTCAGCATTTGATCCTCCTTTAGCTACGGATGCAATATCACATTTATATGTAATATTAAATTGTTAGTCACATGGAGGAAACAGTCGCGATATGAAAATGTTAAACATTACATTATATTATACAGCATAATTTTACTTATTACGTCATTTTTATCACAACTCGTTCATCGATTATTTCTCTAAGACAGATAACAGATTCGTCACACGTTTATCTTTCATTTATAATTTTTGCGTTACGGTTTCTCGTGTGGAAAATTGTTAAATCGATGATATTCCCACTAGACCGTCAAAATTTGTTAAAATGTCAATTTTACGTTTGTTAACTTTTTTCGTGCCAAGTATTTTACGATAAAAACTAGTTTCAGGCAGTTTGCGTTGTTTTGCCCCATCAACTCCGCATACGTGTTGTTTCTTTAATTTTAATTTTTATTTCAATTTTGAATAAATTCTCTTGGCAATAATTTTTTACATGTGATCGTTTAGCTTTAACTTGTCATTTATAATACATTATTTATTTCACAACTTTGTCAATAATTTTTGTTTGTCAAAGACATGTAAAATTATTTTCCTCATCTTCATGTACAAATTACATAAACGAAAATAATTAGAATTTTCTCATTTTTTAATAATTATTTTGATGAGATATCAAATATACATATATTCTGCGACTTTTTATTTGAAATATATATATTTTTTTTATTTTTTTATCTTTATCTTTATAATTATTTTGCGATGAGATTTTAAATACTAAATAAAAAAATATCTATCACTAGACATAATTTTTATCGACAAATTATATTAAACTATATAATGATAAAAATGACGTTAAATAATAATCAATAGCCTTCAACGATAAAAATAATGGTCTCCCTTAAAATCTTACAACGTAATATACCTACGCTTATAACGAAAGGAGGAAAAAGAGTATCACGTGATATACTTACAAAAAAAGTGCTGCCTTTGCGGAAAGCCAGGGCTCTGATCGGTCTTCCAGAGTGCGCGAAGCCCAAGTTTGCGAGAAGGATGAAGTAGATACTGTTGCAGAATGACGGGCGCATAATCAGCAGCACTGTCTCGCGTCTTGGTCGGAGAAAGACAGAAAGGGGATGAAAGACGGAGGAGGGTGGGAAGACTCACAGAGGGTCGAGGAGAAGTTCTTAGGACAAAGTTATATTGTGAAATCCGTTTCGAGTTCTGTGCGTCGGACGTGACACGCTTTATGCCACCGAATCCACCAACGCTTACCTCGAACAACCACCACGATCTCTCGCGTCGACGTTTACAATGTAAAGCCGGGCATATCCCTTCCTTTTACCCCTCTACTTGTTTTCAACCCCCTTTGCCTCTCGCCTCGTTGTCCGACTCGTTTGCGAATTATGGAGAAGCTTGGTTAGCGTTAATTCCGCGAGATACAACGGTCGCTTAATTTCGACCGAGTGTAACTGCGAAAGTTATTGCCGTTGTATGAAGGATGCATTGGCCTTTAGGCGCCTTCAGACACCAATCGATTATCGTGTATATAAGTAACACGTCTCTAACTGTATTCGTTACGTCATATTTGCATTTTGAATAACACATTATTTGCGTGATGATTCAGAGTTAGTTTGTCGCATTCGTTATTAAAATCTACATCACACGGTTAATATGTTATATCCGCGAGATACACCGATTGTGCTTAATTTATGTTTATAACATTAAACACGATGATTTTCTGCGCGATGAGTTTCCCGATTATTATGAATCGATCGTATTCATCCTTTCTTCCATTTACCCATAAATTTCATTTGATATTCGGCCGCTGCAATGCAATTTAATTAATCGATGAAATATCTTACAAGCGAATTAAAAAATATGAAATTCTTTCAACTAAAAATAAATATATTTATTCATAGGATTTTTTTATTTATAATATTTTAGTAAATATATATTTTATTTGGTATATTTATAAAATAATTATAAAAAACATGTTTAATATTAATTATTGTTATATAGGCACATACATATATGTACTAAAATATTTCGCGCAAAAAATATACATAAGTTTATTATTAAATTTGTACATACAAATATAAGAAAATTCAAAATTCAAAAAATCCAGTGTTGAAATATATTATCATAGTAAACATAAAAGTATGTTTGCAACTGTGTTCTTTACACTTGACTGATTCAATTTTCGATTTTTAATTTTTGATCTCTCTTTGTGCATTGACCGTAGGCACGTAATAGTGTTCACAAGAGGTGCTACAAAGTGGTATATGCCCTATTTTTGTTAGACCGTGTTGGCTGAACGACATCATTTGCACTGCCTTTAATACCTATGATAACGCTAACTCAACTTCAAGCTATCGTACGTAAGTGTCAAGTTTTGTCAGCGGAAATTACTTGTCACTCTATATTTGCGTAATACATGGTTAGTCTACTTTACCTTGAAAATTTGTTTTAGATTGCTACCTTACATACCTTGAATTATATTGGAAATATTGATTGCATCGCGTTGATATTATTCGAGAAAGGTATAGAGTATCGAAAAATTAATATTTTATAACCGCAAAAAATATTTGCACGATAAAATTAAAATGAAAAAAATATATTATTCCAGATTTATTTCTTTTTTTGAAATTTTGTAAATACTTAAGATTAAAAAAAAAAAATTCGTCATACAATTCTGAAAAATGGATAGTCAAAGTTATCGCCTCAGTTCTGCTGGACAATTGACGTTAGGCTCGGACGGATCGTGATATATATTCTAATCATTGCAACATAATCCGTGGTAGAGTATGTATGCATGTTTTGTGACAAACAATGTATATTTGGATATTGCTTGCTGCTTATAAACTGAAAAACTTAAAACTAAGGGAGGGCCATCGAGAATATCCAGATATGATTCACTGGGAGATATCAGACTATCCGAAGAAATATTCTTCAGCTTCTTATTTATAAAGGAATTATATCAATACTATCGCTCTCGAGAAACACAATATCGTGGAAATGTTATTTTAATCTCGATTAACATAAAATTGTTAATAATTTAATTAAATTATTGTGCTCTGAACACAATGGCTGTATATATTAATATCAATTTGATTTAAATACAAGATTTTTATGGTAAATTTCCGTGATTATTAAATTGAATAATTTACATATTTTAAGATTGCAGCCATCTAACGCCAAATTATCTACCAATTGTGAAATATTATATACAGGGTGTCCAATAATAATCGTCCCATATTAATCGCGTGCAACACAGCATATTGCGCCCAGTAACTGTTTATAAATTAAATGTCTTTTCTCACGTCTATTCTCGTAGATTGACCGATCTTTTTTAATTAATTTTTTATTAATTATAAAAATCGCTAAAGAAGATTCTTCTCGTCAGTATAATACGCTCTACCCACATAACAGATAGGACAATTACCGAACATTCTATATATATTTAGGTAGATATAACCTTGTTTTAATAAACGAACGCGTTGAACACAAACGTTGTCGATAAACATTATAAATATACTAATATTCTCGAAAATAAGTTAGATCTTGTTGATATACACATTTCACATAATATAGATTACACACATAATTTTTCAAGGATATTATAGACTTGACTAACTTATGCTATTATCTTTGCTCGTTATCCTAGCTACTTATTTACGCGACTCATTTGAAGTTTGCATATTTAGTATCGTACTAAATTGTTGAGGATACAGCACAGAAATTGCAGGTCACGTTAATGATCAGAATGTCTATATTATTTTAAGGAAGAAAGTCATGTTTTTACTTTCTGACATTAATCATTTTTAAAGGCTCTATATGTCTTACTTTCTTATATTTGAAATAAATATATGAATATTGGACAACACAAATTAACTACCTTATAAATATTATTTTATCTCTCGCACAAACATTATTATTTATATTATAATGACGTTTTATTAAATTTTTAAACAGATAACATTTTCTTGCAAATCATCTATATAATATATGTTTGTGTATTTGAAAATACAATTAAAAATCTCGAGATTCAGATACTTATTTTTAATTAAAGCTTAAAAATGATAATAGAATTATATCCCTCTATCGTTCTCGACGCTATACAGTGTACGCGTGTTTTCTTCTATAAATGTATGTACATACAACAGTGCATATTGAATATTGCATCGTGCGAAGAGTAGGTCGCATATAAGGGTTTATAGGTTTTTGGAAGATCCAGAAGCATATTCAGCAGCTTCTTTTTTATAAAGAACTATATTATCTATACTATCGCTATCGGGAAACACACATCGTGGCGATGTTATCTTAATATTGATCATCAAAATTGTTACAATTTAATTGAGTTAATAAATCATATATACATATGAGTGGTTTATTGGTTAATTTGAATTTTAGTACTAGATTTTTTTTGATTATATATATATAATTCATAAAAGAAATAGGTACCGCAATAAAAATAAAACAAAATTAACAAAATTAACAAAAAATAAACAAAATTATTGAGATTTATTTTTATTACTTTTTTTTTAAATGTTGTAAATATTCAATATTTAAAAAAATTAAATTATACAATTCAGTAAAATAGATAGTCAAAGTTATCGCCTCAGTTCTGCTGGACAGTTGACACTTAGACCCAGGGGTTTGCATCGAGATGTTTTTATATCCTAATAAACGTGTCCTTATATCCTAATAATATCAGAAATATCACATTGTGAGTCCTCATGTAACAGCCAGATGATTCCCTAGGAGATATCAGACTATCCGAAAGAATATTCTCCAATTTCTTATTTATATAAAGAAATTATATCAATACTTTTATTATCGAGAAACATACATTATGATGATATTATTCTAATCTCTATCTTCATAAAATTATTAATAATTTAATTAATTATCTGTACACGACAGCTGTGTATTGGTGATCAGTTTGATTTAAATACAATACTTTTTTGGTAAATTTTCGTGATTATTAAATTGAATAATTTATATACTTCAACATTGTAGCCATTTAACGGCCGACACAAAATTATCTATCAATTGTGAAATATCGCTATATATAGGATGTCCGACAATAATCATCTCATATTAATCACGTGCGACAAAGAATATACTGTGCCCACAGCAATTGTTTAACAGTGGAATTGTCTCTCCTGGCTTGTACTCGTACGCGTTGGCCATTCTTTTTTTAATTAATTTTTTTATTAATTATTGCAAAGATAACAAAAAAAATTTTCCTTGTCAAATTAATTTATATATAACTTTTTATAATAAAATTGTGTTGAACACGAATATTGTCGACAAACATTATAAGTATATTTATATTCTCGTAAATAAGTTAGATTTTGCTAATATATACATATTTTATAATATAGACTACAAACACACAATAATTTTCAAAGATACCTAGAGTAGCTGTTCGTCATCCTAGATGTTTATTCACACAACTTATTGTCAGTCGAAGTTTGTATATTTAGTATCATGCTTTGTTAAGGATACAGCGTGGATATATCAAGTCACGATAATGATCGGAATGTTACTTGAAGTAAAAAGCCATGTTTTTATATTTTCTGAGTGTTTGAAATACATCAATTATCTTATAAATTTTATTTTATATCTCGCACAAACATTTTCTTGCATCTTAAAAGGATATTTCATTAAACTTTCAAACAGATAATATTTTCTTGCGAATGCATCTATATATAATACATCAAAATTTTTCAGAATCTAATAGATTTTCTAAACTACTATATCTCTATTTCTCATTTAAGTAAATTGTAAGCATTTAAATAAAAAATGCAAATTTAAAATTATTTATTTATTTATTTTATAATCCGTGTTTTCTCGTAACGTGCACACTGCAACTTGTTTTACTATGTAAATCCAACAATTCTAGTATTCATTTTTAATTAATGAGTATCTTATGTTTTATACAATAAAAAGAAAAAAAGTGAAAATTTCTCTTAAATCAATTAATTTGTGAAGCTTGCTTTTGCCCATTTCAATTGTCTATGATATCACTTTTGAGATTTGATCCAGAATTCCTTGACCATACAGACATGATTTGTAGATTAGAGAACAATCATAATTTTTTCGTCCAAATTCTAGCGCCTCTAAGTATTCGGAATTTAAGGATGAATTATTTCCTTGTGGCCTAAAATTAATAAACACTGTATCTTGAAATCTTCGAAGAAATATAACAATATAAGAAATTATTTATTGGCGCTTTACGAAATATTCTTATTTTCTTATTATATTAATATAAGAAATTGCATAATAATGCAAGAAATTAAATTTTTTACGTGAACAAAAGATGCAACAATTCTCCTACTAATCCTTCGTCCTCTAAAGGCGCTATTGCCGCTTCGCATATGCTTTTTTTCATGCATTCTCTTCCATCTATTCCTCTTCTGTAAATTATAGAAAAATATCCATTATATATATATATGTAATTATACAGCAATATTATATCCAAATTTTTATAATATTTTAACATGATCAACATACATATACCTATATATATTTTAATCGATTGTTGAATATGTACATCAAAATATTTTTACAAAAATCAAACTTTTTCCGCGAATAATATTTCTCTCAAAAAAATATCTGAATTATCCCTCCGAATTTCTGTACATCTCTTCAGATTTAATTTTGTAATCATTCGGGACACGTATGTATATCTACATGTATATAAATTGATGTGACAAATTTTCATATTTTTATCGCAAATATCATTTTTGTCTGCAGTGTACAAATTTTAAAAATAGAGAAACAGTTCTCACCTGTCAAATCCTTCCTCTAAGAGTCTGTAGATAGTCATCCTTTCGTCCCAGTTAACATTTTCGCGACGTCGTCGTGACGAATTTTCGAAGAACTTTGTAAAGAATGTCGCGTTCGGCGGCATGGTGTATTGGAACTGAAAGTTCTGTCCATAAACCAAAGTTCTGCCCGAAATTTGTACAGGCACTGCGTATCCCACGATGAGCTTGTTGCAAATATAATGCATAATAAAATATATTTACGCGTAGCATCACGAAAATATTTAATACACAGTCGTTTACAAGTTATTTTTATAATGCCACTTTTAATATATAACTTATTTAAAAATTTAAATATCTTATTGAAAATAAAATTGAAATATTTTTAATGACCTCTCTTCTATCTTATAGTAATTCTTAATACATATATACATCTAAGCGTTTTATAATAGATGTAGATCAATGGAAATAAAATAAAATATCTTTAAAAAAATGCGAACGCTTAAAAGATAAATTAATAAAATTGAAAAAGAAATTAAATTGCAATGAGTGATGAATATATAACTTATTTAATTTAAATATCTTATTGAAAATAAAATTGAAATATTTTTAATGACTTCTCTTCCATCTTATAGTAATCCTTAATGCATATACATATACATCTAAGCGTTTTATAATATATTTAGATCAATGGAAATAAAATAAAATATCTTAAAAAAAAAATGCGAATGCTTAAAAGATAAATTGATAAAATTGAAAAAAAAATATTAAATCGCAACGAGTGATGACTTATTTCCCAAATTTTCTACAAAATAGCGTCGCAAAATTCCAAGCAAGAACCGCGGAATGGGGCAAACGAGTTCGCACATTCCTAAAAGAGCTTAGAAGCTCTCGCGCTCTTGAAATATTTCCTTTCTTTTTTATCCTCGAAAATATAAAAGATCTATCTCGGGCGATCGAGATAAAAGCAAGAGCTTTCCCGGACTTTGGTCGGAGGATAAAAAATATGCGCCGCGAGTGGATCTATCCAGCATGAGAGGAGAGGGAGAAAGAGTAGTTTACTCGCTCGTTCGGAAAAGTATAGACCGAAGAGATGCAGAGAGAAACGGGAAACGGACGGGAATTAATTTTGTGATTTTCTCGGGTGATAGTCGTCGAGCGGGAAAAGAGGGAAGAGATGAGGGAGAAGCTGCAGAGAAGGAAGTTGATGAACGCCGAGCGACGTCACACCGTGCTCTCTCTCTCTCTCTCTCTCTCTTGATGGCATCTCGCAATAAACATAAAATTTCATATGCGCGGCAGTATCTAGTCGTAAGGAAAGAAATTGACCGCGCGATAGGGTGGAGTAGGACTCGCGAATTCATTTTAGAGATTACGCCCCGTCGTAAATCAATCTCGCGAAACGGAAGAAGGAGAGAAGCTAGCAAATCCGACCTAGCTCGACCGAGCGGCAAGATCGAGAAGAGTATCAATAATGACATCTCAGTGGCTATTGGATATAAAGATGCGCGGTCAGGGATGACCGCAGCTCGTACATTTCCGGAAAAGATCGATGAGTGACCGGAATAAATGCGAGAGAAGAGACAAGAATGCGTTTCGGAGTAAGAGAGAGCTTGCAAGATATCGATCTATCGTTTCGCGAAATGGAAATTAATGTATTATAGAAATATTATTATGTCTTTTGAAAATTACGCAAGAAATGTGCGAAGATTTTTAATTGTAATAAAACGTAGAATTTGAAGTATTATATTATAAGGAGACATTTTTGATGCGTTTTTGAAATAAACTTTATCAGTTTTTTCCAAGTACGTCATTTTGATGGCACGCTCTTCGTCTCCAAGGGAAGATCTCTATCCTTATGCTATTTTCGCAACCTGCAGATGACAGAGGAGCTACATACAACTCTCTGGCGACTCGCCAAACCTGTCCTTTCTCTCGCATTAATTTTTATGACGCGCAAGGCTTCTACTTTGCTTAGGTGCTTCGTATTATTTATGCAAAAGTTAACTGACATTGCCAAGATATACTCCTAGTTTTATATTGTTACTTGGCATTTTCCTTTCTTGAGAAATATTATGAGAATATTAACAATATCAGTACTTGAATTTTAATAATGTTGAATATTTTTTTAAAATGATTTATTTTATATTTAAAATGATATTAATCATATTAAATTAGTAATATTAATAATATTATTGTGGCTACTGTTATATATTATTAATATGCATATAATTCTCTCTCTCTCTCTCTCTCTTTCTCTCTCAAATTTTGTTGGCATATTCAGATCGCTGTATAACACATTGCACAATTTACAAAATAGGTGCGCATCTCAGGAAAATACTTATGAAATACATATAAAACGACATGTAATACTTATAAAATTGTTTGTCTAAAAAAGGTATATGAGCAAAAATTGTGTTTTTGTAAAAGAGATAATTGAAAAATTTTTATTTGTACAGTTTTATCTGTTACATAATGTTTGGCTTCATTATAATTCTGCTCTTATTGTCTTCCGTATTGCTCTCAACATTAAATCTTAAAAAATATTCTCTTGACACACACGTGCGCAAAATTAATATAGCACTTAAAATAATTTTTATACCTTAAAAAGTTTTTTGTATTTATGAGCAAAACACTTCTTCCTCTTTAATGCGTTAAATAAGACGAAGAAGAAACAAAAAAGTTAACAAAAGCACCTTTGCCATATCTGTGCACTGTACTTGAACAAGCCTGCTCTGTGCAAAAGCTTAAAAATAATTAATTCCACACATAATGTCAAAAATGTTTAACGAGCACTGTCTTTTTCTAAATAAAAGTCGAAATTATCTAAAATATTTATTAACAAAAAAATACTTGTTTATATCTTAATAACATAATTCTTTCACTCTTCTTTCGATTGACTTTACGCATCGCAAATACTTCGTTATTGTCACTGCAAATTGTGTAACATTTCCGCTATGCAGCGGCCTGATTGCATCGATGAAATCTGAATCTTTTCTCACGAGAAATGGAACGATCGCCTTTCTTCTACTCGTAGAAATCAAGACGCGCGGTCTTCGAAGATCGATATCCCTATTCTAAATATCTTCTCGCCGGGGAAAACGAACGCAAAACTGCGCCGGCAGAACGTCTTTCGTTCCTTCTCGCAATCGCTACCGTATTTTCGGAATGCATTTACATCAGGAATCTCTAGAGCTCTCGAGAGCGATCGCGACGCGTTTTGTTTCAACAATCCCGAATGTTTACATGGGAATTTACCTTTATTCCAGATATATTGCGCATTTGTTTTAAAGCGTGCGACGGGAATACCAATTTCCAGAAGAAAGTACAAACGTTTCTCTCTCGATCTCTTCCTCTTGTTAAATTGGTACGCGGGGGAGCCAAGAGAGCTTGAAGCTTCTCTCGCGATATTTAACGAATATTGTAATCCGGTATAGCTTCATCGAATACGCAATAAAACAGAGGCATTCGTGAAATGCATTCGAACTGCGCTTTGTGATCACGACTCGCCGCATTTTCCGCTAGAACGATATTACTTACGGGAGATGTAATACCACGCGGGAATAACGGTGAACTGAAAGGGAAGATTTACCCCGACGTTGCTTTCTCTCCTTTGCTCGCGTCGCAAATCACAATCAAACCTCCCCTTCTTCATCCCCGTCATCATTTCTTCCGCGAGTTTACACGTGCGGTGACCCGAAACGCGCTCAATCCGCCTCCTCTTTCCTTCCTTTTGGTCGCCCACCTTTTTCAAGCAAACACTCAAATATTTACAATTGTCGCGCTACTTCTGGGATTAAAGACTCTCTTTCTCGCGAAAAAGGGGGGCAATCGACGACTACCATCTTACGTTATAAGTAACGCGAACAATTGATGTCGATTCGCTTCGTCGTTCTTTATATCGGTATATGTACCGTATATTTCGATGTACATTCTATGTGCATCGACCCGAATACAATTTATCTTTTTTGTATTTTCTTACGTTTTACATTGTGCATACGAAACATTTTTAGTTCTTTTATCGAAAGATTGTAGGAAGAAAAGCGAAGCTTAATACAAATAATAACGCTCGTCTACTGCCAAAGTCTGTTCTAGAAAGCATCTCGCGTTTTCTTTTGATTATTCTTACTTAGTGTTTCACGATATTTTTCCAACGTTAGTAAGAATGTCATTAGTGAGAAGTTTGATGAAAAAGTATTTCGTAATGCTTCAATTATTCATTATTCTAATAAACCAATTTATGAGAATTCAATGTTTTATCGACTCTATTCTAATATCAAAGAAGCATATTATGAATTATCAATCGCTATAATTATTAATTCTTATTTGATTAATATCAAAGAAGCATATTTACATACATTGATAATTTATATATATTCCGCGGTATATATTGTAATTCAAATTTCATAATGTTCCGCAGTTTTACTAAAATAAGATATACATATGTACGTATATACTTATGTACGTATATATTTATATTGTATATAAAATTTATAAAGAAATGAGCACTACAGTAATAATGAAATTGGAACAAAATTATCGACGTTTATATTTTTATTACTTTCGTGAAATTTTATAAATATTTAATATTAAAAAAAAATTAAATCATATAATTCGGTAAAATGGATAATCAAAGTTATCGCCTCAGTTCTCATATCTAGACGATATACACTTAGATTAGACGGCTAATGAGGTAGTGTACAATACAACTAATGGGTTGTCCTAATAATAATATTGCACTAGCAACATAATCTCTACCTGGATAGATATTACGTGCTTTTTGAGTTCCTCATGTAATGCCCAGAGTTCCCTGGGAGATATCAGACTATCCGAAAGAATATTCTCCAGCTTTTTATTTATAAAGAAAGTATATCAATACTTTCGCTATCGAGAAACATACATCATGACGATATTATTCTAATCTCTATCCTAATAAAATTATTAATAGTTTAATTAATTATCTGGACACAACAGCTGGGTATTGGTTTTCAGTTTGTTTTAAATACAAGATTTTTTGCTCAGTTTTCATGATTATTTAATTGAATAATTTATATACTTGAAGATTGTAGCCATCTAACGGCCGATATGGCAAATTATCTACAAATTGTGAAATATCGCTATATACAGAGTGTTCAATAATATTCGTCCCATATTAATCGCGCGCGAACGAAGCATATTGCGCCCATGAACTGTTTAATATTAGAATATTAGTTAATTTTTCATTAGT